CATAAACTGGAAAAGTACTTACCCTGGCATGTTAAAATCGTCTCCGTTACCACCTATACTCGCAAACGACAAAATTCGTACTGATTTTCATTGATTTATAATGTACATGCGGCACAATACAGTCTGCATGCAATTTTCAAGTGCTTGAAAAAGTTGACGATGCATATTGAAAACTTATGGCCGAAAATATCGGTTACCTAAAATATTTTTAGCGCAAATCTTAGGCCAGGGCCGTTTCAAAGTCTGTAATATAGTGCTAGATTCCAGAAGCACTTATATTTATTATTAAATGGGCGTCCAGTTAACTGGACGTGAGTCTCATTAGAAACCCTTGCGTCCAGTATACTGGACGTTAGCAGCCAACCTGTTACGACAAAAAATCAAACTAACAATATATAGAACACTCATCTCACCAGTGCTGACATATGGGCCAGAAACATGGACAGTCTTCAAAATAGACACAAATCATCTGCTCGTCTTTGAGAGGAAAATACTACGCAGAATAATGTGAGAGCAATCTGTGAGAATGGTATTTGGAGAAGGCGATATAATTTTAAATTCTACGAGAAGTATAAAGAAATAGTTAATGGTAGGGGTGTAATATCGTTCATAAAAATAGATAAGCTTATATGGGCTGGACATGTGTAAAGAACAAATGAAAATTACCCACCCAGATGAATCCTATTGATGGCACCAATAGGAAATATGAGTAGAGGTGGATCAAGACTGAGGAGGGATGGTGTGGACAAGGATGCTAGAAAGATCGGCGCAGCAAACTGGCAATAGTTGACGATGAACAGAAACAACTGGGGAAGGTCGAGGATCAACTAGAGCTGTATCACCAATGATGATGATGATGTTGGTGATTTATTTATGGGCAGAAAGATAGTTCAATTTGCAAGAAGATACTCTTCTTTGCAAAATTGAACCAAATTATAGCTCTTTTTATTACTTTTTTGTGGTCTGTCTTCGCCTACAGTGCCATCACTTCTTTTTTGTACGGCACTAACAATTATATGTTGCGACAAGCAGTTATTTTGCAGATAAAATACTAATTTACCGAAATTATTTTATTATATATATTTTTTTAATTGTAAATATGAAATTAACAATATTTTTTATGATGTATAGAATTATTTTTACAGTATAATTATATATTTTATGTTGAATACTATTTAATTAATTGTTTGATAGTCAAAAAATTCTGACAACTAAATATTGAAAGAGCTTTTTACCAAATTAAAATAAAAATTAATAAAGAGTAACGTCGCTCTTAGCTTGAATAACAGCTTGAACTCTATTAGGCATTTTATTAACTAGGTTTTTACAGAAACTATCAGGGGTGAAACTATCCCATATTTCTTGCAATTTAGCACGTAGTTGTGGCAAAGTACGTTGAGGGTTATTTCTTAGATTCTTGGTCTTCTTAGTCTTTTGTTTAATTTTGTGTCAACGTGTCTATTGGATTATGATCCGCATGCTAGAAGGACGTGACAAAACTTTAATGCTATGTTTTACCATCCATTTTTGGAAGACTTAGCCGTATGGCATGTATCTCCGTCCTGCTGAAACATAAAATCACCGGATGGATATAACTTTGCCGCACTTGGTAGAACCGAATGTTCAAAGATATCTTGATATTTGGCATTGTTTGTATGGCCTCAGTGTAATCTAAAGTTCCCAACTCTTTGGCCGACACACCACGATGCCTTGTTAAAACTTTACAGTCCTTTTGAGACAATCCTTATGGAATGTTTCTGTTTTTTCCCGAATCACACGCTTTCGATAATCTCCCACATAGACATCAAATTTGCTTTTGTCGCTATAGATAACTTTGTCCCAGTTATGTTTGGTCCACAAAAGTTTTGATTTAGCCCAAATGTAACGATTTCTTTTTTGAGTTTTCGTCAAAAATGGTTTTTCTTTGGCCTACTCGAAAAAAATAATATATAAAATTTATATCGTAAAGAAGAATTTATCAAACATACCTTATAAAAATTAAACCGCTTTTGTAGATATATTTGCGACAGCAATCTCTGGAAACATTCATCCCAGTTTCTCTATTCCACCTAGCAGTTAGTTCTCATAGTGTATTTCTTCTTCCCGACTTACGTATTCTAATTAAATACTTTGAGAAACAGCTTTTGGTCGACCTGAGCCTTTGCTGCGAACATCAATACTGGTAGTTCCACCATATTTCTTATTTATATTAAACACTGCTTAAACGTTTCGAGAGAAAAATTCTGAGGAAAATATATGGAGGTGTAGAAGAACAGGGTTTGTGGCGTAGGCGCTACAACTTTGAGTTATACAGAAATTTGGGGGAACCTGACGTAAAATAATGCAACGATCAGAAAAAATTTCGACCGAAGAGGACCAGTGCGAAGACGATCCAGAGGAAGACCAAAACTTAGTATCAAAATAACATAGAGGATGATCTAAAATCCATCGGAGTTAAAGCATGGAGAAGAGTTGCCAGAGACAGGTGCGAATGGAAGATTGTTTTGAAGAAGGTATTGACTCATGACGAGCTGTAATGCCACTGGTGATGATGATGATATTAAACACAGCAGTTGTTGCTACAGTAAATTCAGTACTGATAAATAATAATTTCTAGAACTTTTGGATCAGTAGGTTTTCCACGTGCCATTATTATATTTTACTCTTAGTAAATCTCACGGTTGTTGATTATTGATACTCAAATGACGCGTGACAATTATTGTTGAGAACGCACTACTTGCTCGTATGTTTGATTTCAAAGCCTTCTTTGCGCTAGGCTGATAAAATTTAAGAAACGGGACGAAAAGCAAAAAATGTTCTAATATTTAGTTGTCAACAGTTTTCGATTATCATACAATTAATTAAATAGTAATCAAAATAAAATATATAATTAAGCCGCAAATATAATTCCATATATCATAAAAAATGTTTGTTAAATTCATATTTACAATAAAAAAAAGATAAATAAAAGAATTTCGGTAAATTGGCATTATTTTCGCTTGTTCCAACATATAGTTGTTAGGGCTCGTAATTTGAATGTTTTTATCTCAACCATGTCCTTCCGTTGGGAAGGTTGCGAGCTCTGTTCACAGTATATTATCAAGGGGTTCGACAGTAGGTGTATTTAATTTGTAAATTAAATTTTCTGTATTTTTTTAAGTCTGATGCGTTTTCGCCTTACTCGAAATGTTTGGTCTCAGAATAAAAGTTCGACAATCAATACCTCTCAATATCTCAATTTTTGTTCTTTTACATTTGTACATTTTTCGCTGTAAATAACCCATAATGGAGTCAACTTTCTATCGAAGGAAGTGCCTAATTTTGATGGCCCTTCGAGCTAGATATGATCCAGATTTTCCTACTATTTCATGTAGCAAGTTTCATTGATTTTCTATAGTTTGTTGGTTATTTAAAGTCATTATATTAATACGTGTTCCTGGGTTTAGTGTGGAAGTTTCTGCGTTGTGTAAATTCTTAACTTTTTAACCTAATTCAACTTTGCTATTCACTCCTGGCATAGACATATAATACAAATAGTCTGATCGCTCCAATACAGTGCGACAAAGAAAACTGACGCAAAGCAGTCCCTGCATCTCTTTCTAATAGGCTTGGTTTATCGACCACGTGGCCTTCCCATTGGTCATTTAGGTCACGTGGTCGATAAACCCGGCCCATTAGAAAAAGATGCAGGGACTGATGTGTATCAGGTTTAAAATATTTGATGGGGATGCCAGCAGGTCTCAGAATGAGGCACAAAAAGGCAGGACACAGCTATGTATCAAAAAGTATGCAAATCCATTACAAAAAATGTTTCGAAACCAACTAGTTTTATTTCCAACGCAGGAAGAAATACTGCAGACATCGAGCATACTTAATTTGTATAGATGCTGATTGGGGTTAAAATAGATTTTGTCTTAGTAACTTTGATATTCTTGTTGGGTTCCCAATTGAACTTTTTATTTGAAATAATAAAGATTGATTTGGATAGTAAAGAGATTAGGCGTTATCGTTTGGTAAGTCTTAATATCGTAATTAAATTGGTGAAAGCAAGCAATTTAACAGTTGATAGATACTAATTTAACCACTTCTGCTTGTACATATTTAAGTTTAAACAGTGATTATAAACATGGGCGTAATTAAAACCATTCTTTAATTCTTGTAGTTTTATTTAAATTGTGTGTCATCGTGATTTTGTCATATCATGAAACTATCAAAACATTCATCAATATGAATCAATTAGGTTAAAATTGGAGTTATTAATTTTAACAGGAACATACCCAAATTTATACTTCTTCATTTGCTTCATTCATATCACCTCGTTTAGTAATATAAAAAAAACAACCAATAAACATTTTTAGGACACATGAAAACAAGTTATTTTATTTGATACATAGTTAGAACGCTCCGTGCGAATCTTCCATTGTTTAAAACACTGCTTTAAGTCTTCTTCTCTCATATCTTTCAGGACACGTGGGTTTTTCCTTTTACAGCTTTAATGCTATCTATCTTTAATGCGATCTAATGTTAGATCGAATCAAATTATTTTCCTGCCGGGGGTTGCTATCATCATTTTTTTATTCTCTAATGAGCTGCAACCAATCCGTCCTCTTTAGATTTCTCAGCCAATACTTGTTTGTCTTCCTTGCACCTTCTCTTGTATAATCAGTCTAAGTAGTGTATATTTCCTCCCTCTCTTTATATGACCCAAATATTGAAGTTAATCCTGTCCTTTTTATTTTAAGTTTTCTTTTAAGATGTAACAGATACCAGCTTGTAAATTAACACATTAAGGACTGTTATTGCTAACATGTTTACCAGTCTTAAATAATAAATAAAATATATTTTACTCTCCATTTATTTTTATATACAGGTGGTGGAACAGTTTTAGTCTTGTATTATAATTTGATATTCGCATTTTGTTTTCACTTAATCCAAAATGTAACACTAACCTACGACCATTAAGTCATACATTTCACTAAACTATAAGTTTTAATTTGTAGGTACCACAGTCTTCCAAATAGAATTTGTTAATGAAAATACCATCAGATTATACCATAATGGTAAAGACATTCGTCCATTCTTGGGAGGCTTCAAAAGTTCATCATTTGATGATCCGTTACATAATCAAGGGTCCGATGAGGCTCGAATACAAGATCAGAATAGTGTTGTGGCAGAAACAGAAATTACTGAGTGTGTAGAAAATACTTTAAAATACAATTCAATAATTCCTTCACAAAATCAAGCTCTGCCAGAAATTGATACTGAGAGTCAGTCAGGTAGTACCTATAATGAAATTAATGACTTATCTTTAATGCAACAAAGTGGTGGAAATATAGAGGACACTAAAGTGGAGAACGTCCCAAAATCAAAATCAAATGAAAGAGTTGAAGAATGCTCAATTGCCGACAATGTAAAAGACAATACCCTAACAATATGTACAGATAAATTAGAACCTGCAACTGAAAAATCGGAACCGTTTACAGAAGATTCTAAAGACCCTATAGATGTGGTTGAAGGTGATGCAACTGAAAAATCAGAAGTATTTACAGAAGATTCTAAAGACCCTTTAGTTGTGGGTGAAGAAGATGCAGATGAAAAATCAGAAGCATTTACAGAAGATTCTAAAGATCCTTTAGATGTGATTGAAGATGATGCAGATAAAAAATCAGAAGCATTTACAGAAGATTCTAAAGACCCTTTAGATGTGGTTGAAGATCATGCAGATAAAAAATCAGAAGCATTTACAGATTCTAAAGACGCTTTAGAAGCGGTTGAAGGTGATGCAGATGAAAAATCAGAAGCATTTACAGAAGATTCTAAAGACGCTTTAGATGCGGTTGAAGGTGATGCAGATGAAAAATCAGAAGCATTTACAGAAGATTCTAAAGACCCTCTAAATGTGATTGAAGATAGTGCAGATGAAAAATCAGAAGCGGTTGAAGGTGATGCAGATGAAAAATCAGAAGCATTTACAGAAGATTCTAAAGACCCTCTAGATGTGATTGAAGATAGTGCAGATGAAAAATCAGAAGCGTTTACAGAAGATTCTAAAGACCCTTTAAATGTGGTTAACGATGATGCAGATGAAAAATCAGTAGCATTTACAGAAGATTCTAAAGCCCCTTCAGATATGGTTGAAGATGATGCAGATAAAAAATCAGAAGCATTAACACAAAATTCTAAAGGCCCTTTAGAAGCGGTTGAAGATGATGTAATTGAAAAATCAGAAGTATTTACAGAAGAGTCTAAAGACCCTCTAGATGTGATTGAAGATAGTGTAGATGAAAAATCAGAGGCGTTTACAGAAGATTCTAAAGACCCTTTAAATGTGGTTGAAGATGAAGCAACTGAAAAATCAGAAGTATTTACAGAATATTCTAAAGACCCTGTAGGTATGGTTGAAGATGATGCAGATAAAAAATCAGAAGCACTTACAGAAGATTCTAAAGACTCTTTAAATGTGGTTGAAGATGATGAAACAAAAACTTCTGACATAACGTATGATACATTAGTTGGCCAACTTGCAACTTATACAGAAAAAATAAAAGCAGAAACAGAAGAGTTTTTGTCAAAGGAAGATACGAAACTTGGGCAAGACAAAAAACTTTCAAAAACTGATGAATCTCAAGACGTATCAGAAACATCAGAGATGTCTGATGTTTCTGTTACTAAACAGGGTAGAAATAATATAAAAGATGGTGAATCTCAAATTGAACAACTCTCTCAAGATTATGTGAAAAAACATCAGGAATCTGAAACTGGTTTAAAAAATGTTGAATTGCAAAATGAGAATGCTTTCTCTGATCATATTTCAGAAAAGTCTAATATTTCTGATACTAAACAGAACACAATAGGTTTAAAAGAAGATGAATCTCAAATTTTACAAACATCTACAGACTCTGATAGTTCTAAAGTTCAGGAAACCGAAACAGATCTTAAAAAAGTTGTAACCCAAAATGAGGGTATTTCCTGTGATCAACTCTCTGAAAAAATTGATATTATTGATTCTAAGCAGGAGACAATTAATTTAAAAGAAGATGAATCTCATACTGGACAAACCCTTGCGGATTTTGATATATCTAAACATACAGAAACTAAAACAGTTTTGAAAAATATTGAAACTCAACATGATGATACTAAACAGCATAAGACAGATTTAAAAGTTGATGAATCTCAAATCGGACATATTCCTACAGAATCTGATATTTCTGAACTTTTAGAAACGGAAACAGATGCAAAAAATTGTGAATCTGAAATCTGCGAATCAGAAAATTCTGGTATTTCCAATAGTAGAGAGGACATCGCAGTTTCAAAAGGTGATGAATCTCAAATTGAAGGCAGATCGTCGGATCAACTTGCTGAACAGTTAGAAATTGTCCCCAATAGCGATAAACCTAAAACTGAATACGTAACCTCAGTAGGAATTAACGAACCATCAGAAATGTCAGTGGATGATGTTATAAAAGAACATGTGATGACTAAAAGCTTAGTTTTGGTAAATAATTTAGGCGAAACACTCGATTCCCCTGAAAAGGAATGTTCAGAAGATCACAATGAAATGGTAACAGGAGATTTTATTGACAATGAAGGAGAGATTGTTGAAGAATGCTCAAAAGTAGATGAAACGTTAGAAAATTCTGAAAATTTGGAAGACAGTAAAGATTCTTTTAATCATGAAACAGACGCGTCTGGGACTAGTGACGAAATAGAAAACGTAAGCTCAAAATTATCTACAGTGAGCGACACAACTGCCAAGAAAGTTACTACCAAAACACCAGAATCTTCAAAATCGTTGGAAAGGAGAGCACTTCATTTACCGAAAGATCTGCGTAGTAAAAGTACTGAAGAAGCTCAGAAAAAGAGTGCTCAAGGAGCTGTAAAGAAAACTACACCAACTAAAAGTAATCCTAAAACAGTGTCCCCAACTAAAACTACATCACCAAAAAATACGTCTACAAAATCTCCTCCTAAAGTAGAGATTCCTAAATTGAGTCCTACAAAACCTCTTCAAACTACATCTAGTTCGAAAGTAAGTCCGAAGAAGGATTCTGCAGCAACAAATGCCGTGAGTCCCACAAAATAAATGAGATTTCTCAAATTGCTACACTTCATACTTCACAACTCGGGAATATTATTGTAGAAGTTTTTTTTGTTAACGTTGCAAGTACAGAGCGACAAATCAACAATAGAAATACATTAAAGCGTATTGATGTATAAGACAAATCATTGTTTTTATTGAAAAATGTGTATGTTTATATTTTGGTTTCATTAATTTTTGTTTGTTTACATAATGTTGTTTCATTTAGCTTGTTTTAAGGCCAAAACGTTTTATTTTGATAATAAATATGTTTATGAATTTATTTGTTATTTTGTCTAATTTAGTAGTTTATAGCTGAAATTAGAACCAACCTTGTCCTATCCTTCTCAAATTTCCACGGTCTTCCATCCGACGCCGGCATCCAGCATTATCCTTCCTCTGGGCCCTCGATTGGGTCCATACTCCAGGCGATCCTGTCAACATAGAGCCAAAATAAGTTCAAACATGCATATATACATCAAAAGATATAATGAAACTTGGAGCAAAAGCGAAACATGTTCTGAAATTTGAAACCTTCACTATCAACAACCAAACCATCAGAATTAGATCGAGGTGTTTATCAAGAAAGGTTAACAAACTTAAGGAATAAACAAGAGTATTAAAAATAATAAAGAAATTAAAACTAGATAACTTACCTGCAGCTATTAGCCTAGAAAACCGCTAAAATGATCGAAAATCATAATATTTTTGTCTTACTCAGCTGTTCCAATTTTAATTACCTTAATCGCTGAATTTTACGATCGGGTCTGTGGCGCCGTAACAATAGTCTTAGAAATAGATGTCTATTAAAAAGAAATAGCATTCTTATTTAACCAATTGAAAATAGTAATCAGGCTTGCATTTCTAGCGTTTCTATCAAACAGTAGTGTTTTAAGTAAGTAGTAGTATTTATTAAAAATATGTCGTGGAAACAGAAAGACAAAGATTGGAAGAATGTTTACAAGAGTTTACAAAATTAGTTAATTCTAACTCAGATACGAGCGAAATACAACCATTTCCTGCTGATTCAGATGATCCCGATTATAGGGAACACATTGAAAATTTCAATTCTCACTCAGGGGAAGAATTTCTGCAAATAAAAAAATTTAAATACAAATATTCTTGAATTCAAGTCATTATAGGCTATAAAGATTTTCAGAATCTTTTGAAAACGATTGGACATCTAAAGACAAAACCACAGAATAATAAACAATCAGAATGCCCACTCTGCTTGTCAAGATAAGTCCGCGCAGCCATGTTTTAAACGGAACCAGTGCTGTTCAGTAACATTTTATCTGGTGTGCATAAAAAAATTAACATGGTTTAACTAAGTTACGGAAATCATAGACATAATATGCCCTATTTTATTAGTACTTTCGAGTCAAGTTCAAATTTCTTATTCCGTTTATAAATATGGCGATAGCGTGCTGGCACACTTCAAAGGCGGCATCTGAGAGTAGGTATCCTGATTGTTATTTATTTACAAAATTTAATTTTTGTGAAAGCTTTTTAAATAAATGTACCATAATGGATACATTTTATTCATGTTCTGTGTTTGATATTCTCAAAAATATATTTTCTTCTAATACACAAATCCTGGCCGGATAGCCCTCTAGCTAAGGCCAAACACTTGAATGAAAGAAGAACTTTTCTTTTAAGGTTATGTTTTTAAAATGTCACACGTGTAAGTGTGAGAATTTAAGTTTTCGTCTGAAATATTGTAATTAAATTTAAAAATGCAACACGACGACGTTGTTTGGAGTATTATAAACAAAACACATTGTTCATACAAGACTCAAACCAAGACACAAAAGTTTTGCCGTAACGAATATAACCTTACAGGTCTTTGCAACAGATCGGCTTGTCCCTTAGCAAACAGTCAATATGCAACGATCAGGGAAGAAAACGGTATAATATATCTTTTTATGAAAACTGCAGAGCGGTCAGCGTTTCCAAAAAAGACTTGGGAAAAGGTAAAATTATCTAGAAACTTCGAAAAAGCGATACATCAAATCAATGAAAATTTACTCTACTGGTCGGGTTTTATTAAATCAAAATGTAAGCAGAGGTTTGTAAAAATAACACAATACTTAATTCGAATGAGAAAGTTGAAATTAAGAAGACAGAAATTGTTGGTTCCGATTCAGAGTAAGGTAGAACGACGAGAAAGACGCAGAGAAGAGAAAGCTCTCATAGCTGCTCGAATTGAAAAGGGAGTTGAGAAAACGTTATTAGATCGATTGAAACAAGGTGTGTATCAAGATTTGTACAATATTTCTCCGCAAACATTTGATGAAGCAGAACAAGAGAGAGAATTGGAATCTGAAGAAGAGGTAGAACAAGAAATTGAAATGGAAAACGAAATGGAGGAAGAATTAGATACACCAGAATTTGTTGCTGCAGATTCAGATGATGACAGTGATATTGAAAGTGAAAGTGGTAATCCTGAGGAAGTGGATCTAGACAGTAGTTTTGAATCTTCAGAAGGTTCTGATATTGAAGATATAAGACCTAGTACTTCAAAGAAGAGCCAGACACCTGTAAATAAGAAAGGGACACCCAAACCTGGATCCAGCAAGAAAAAGCGTAGGTCTAGGGTTGAAATTGAATATGAACTTGAACGTGCACCACCTCAAAGACTGTCTCTTAGTTAAATTTTGTTTAATTGTGATTTTTACAATTTCTTTAATAAATATTTTAAGGCGATTTTTATTTTGTAATCAAATCTACTTTCTATATAATAGAAACTTATTAAATAAATTCCCTTTTATTTGATTTATCTATTCTAATAACATATGGATGGTTTTTTTAACATGTGCTTATAACAATACAACAGTTTTTTTATATACTAGGAAAAATATAAAATACTAAAAGAAACTAATATATAACCTTTGAAAAATAGTGTACTTGATACACTTTGCTAACGATCAAGTGATTCTAGCTGAAGAGGAGAGTGATAAATTCTGTGTGTTTAGAAAACTGGAAGAGAAGTAAACCAAGTAGAGCTTTACAATTAATATACAAAAAAAAATTATCATTATCAAATGATCGCGAATATACAGGGTGTTTGGTAGGTCGATGGAAATTTTTTAAAGGGTAATAGCAAAAAGCAAAATTTTTTGCTAATAATGTATCACTCAAATTTTTAAGATTTCCGAAATAAAGTTAAATTTGCCAATATTCGATAATAAGGCTGCTCGTCTATTTTTAAAAATAATTATCTAAGCGAGATACTTACCTGACATACAAAATGCCTTATGTATTACTTGGTCAGATTGCAAACACCCTTCGTTGAATCTTAATGCATTGTTAAAATAACCTTCATTAATGAAACGAGTAGGAAAGGTAAAACACAACAATGGTACATCATGCTTTTTGCAACATTTATTATGCCTTATTAAGTATGTACATAAACTTCAGAAAACAGTCATTGTTGTTCAAAATGAGAACCACCATTCCTAATGCACGCTCTTGCCCTGCTTCGTATTTCTGATGTGGTTACTTTTAACCTACCTGCCCTTATAATGTCAGCTGCTTAGATAATCAATTCCATTAAATGAGCTCTAGTTCGGATTAGAACTTGATAAACACGTTCTTTGAATCTGCCCCAGATGTGGTAGTCACACGGTGTTAAATCGGGCGATCTAGCAGGCCACAAAATTCGTCCGATCTACATATTGGGATAGTGATAGTTGAACCAAGCCGTAACAGCATGTGCACAATGTGCAGGGCATCCATAATTTTGGTACACCATTCTTCGCCTGAGAGCGAGGGGTAAATCTTCTAAGGGTGGTGGTAATTAATTCTCTAGAATGTCTAAGTACACTTGACTATTTAACCTGTCTGGCAAAAAGTAAGGTCCTATTAACTCTCGTCTGATAACTACTACCCAAACGTAGACACTAAATTTTTGCTGAAAATGTTTCTTTCAGTAAATCGAGATTGTCATGTGCCTAGTATGCAGGTTGTGAAAATTTGTAATTCCTTCTCTATTAAAACTGTATTCATCAGTCCATAAAATACTTTTTAGAAAATTACCATCTTATATACAGTTTATGAATCCGGTGCATCAGTACGTCTCCATTTTTTATTAATTCATTGTTGATTTCATCGCGTTCTGCCGTTTTTCCCGATTTCAACCCTTTTACTGTTTCAATAAGTTCCCTGTAAAAATACAAAATCTACAGGTTACAAAAACAATGGATGGAGAGAAGCTATTGTACAAGTTTTTGTATTCGGACTATATGTTGTAGATTCTTTTTCTTTCTCATTTAGGTGCTTTCTCTATTACTAAAGATTAGCGATCAGTACAGAAAATTGACATATATGTCTCCATGTTTGCGCACTCTAACATTTTTTAGCCATGAGCACTTTCTTTTCGGGCCCTTTTCTCACTTAATTTTGAAGCATCACACATTACAAGTTTGTGTACTCTATGTCTGAAATTGAAACGATTGCTTGATGTTAATATATACTTCTATCTACTTTTAAGACTCATAGTTCTGAAGAGATAACTGGGCAAATAAATTATGAAGCAAACGCAAGGAAAATAATTTATTTAGCACTGTGTAGTAGGTAAATAAAACCCCAAAGAGATACAAATTACAAATTTATTATCATTAGTGGCAGTATAGTAACAAATATCAAATTATTCTATATTAGAAACTTACAAGAATTTGGAAAAATTGCACAACGAATTCAAGTAAATAAATATGTATCCAACTTCCGGCGATTTTCTATTGAAAATGCGAATACTTTGATCACATCAAAGATATTTGCTAATATAAACCTAGGTATATATTTTCTCTGTACAAAGTTACAAACTACAAATAACCATTTTAATATAAAATGTCGAATGTACAAATATTTACAAGATTTATTAACAGTATCTAATCATCATTGGGTACTCCCTCTATAATAATATTGTTTAAGAAATAGATGTAATATTGTAAATAAGAAATATTTGTATTGTTGTAAAACAATTAAATTTTACTTTTTTTTTTTAGTTGGGATAGCAAAGAACATGATGCTTTTATTATTATTAACTCATCTGTATACGAGTTCCATGATGAAAAATTGCAATAAAATATGACTTGAATCAAAATAATTCACATTTAATACGTAGAATTCAGAGCGTATTAGATATAATTTATAATTAGTCGACAGACATTGGTTTTAAATTTTCACCCTCCCAATCTAGAGTTATCCAAATTAGTAGATTAAGATATAGTTGGCATTCTCCTGTTATTTACCTAAATGCAGTCCCTCCCAATCAAAATTGTTGACCAACATAAATTTTTATGAGTTACTTTTGACATATGACTTACATAGATATATCACATTGGAAACACTAAAAGCAACTGCCTAAACAGAATAAACATTTTAAAAACTCTAGCCCATCACCAACGGAGAGCTAAAGAAAAAATCTTTATTCGCTCCAGATTAGATTATGGCAGCATGCTCTACATGACCTCCTGCAATACTTATCTCAAATCTCTAAATTCAAGATAAACGACCTGTTTAAGTATATGTCTAAGGGCTTTTAGATCTAGTCCCAACGAAAGCATGTGCATGTACTCTCTTATTTTCGTGGAGGCAAGGAAGAACTTTAAGAAGCGTGGAAATAGACAAAATTCCACAGATTGAAAACATACATAAAAGAAACAGAAGGACTATTATATCTGAGATCTTTATATTTGTATAATATTGTGTTTTATATCACTCCTTTGTCCATATAATCTCAAGTTTTTAACTTTTTTAGAGGAAGGAAATTGATAACTATACTTATATTGGTGTGTGATTCTTGTTGTTGGTTCCCCTTATCACGTTACTTATATGAAATGCATATTCAGTACTCAAAAACAATAATTTAAAGTAAATGACAACAAACAAACAGTAGGCCAATGGACGTTTAATTTCAAAGGTCCTGTTTAAAGAATTGCGAAATGTATTTTTATTATTACAATAAAGCTTTGTGTAATATATATATATATATATATATATATATATATATATATATATATATATATATATATATATATATATATTTGAATGAACAAATTCTTTATTACAGTTAATTCATTATTTCTATCGTGATTTTTCATCATGTATCATCATTCTCCTGGCAATACGGCAACACTGTTTAGACAACGTTTCATTAGGTATGTAGTTGACTTCATAGCTAATGATTGGTGTGTAATAGATTTAATAGGAACACAATAACTACTTCAGCCTTATGTTTAGCCTTAAGCTTGTTCTTCGTGGCCTTACGCTTAGGAAGAACAAGCCTTACGCTTGTTCTTCTTAATTTTATTCTTGTTACATTATTAAAAGATTTTTCAAAAGTATTTTAATCCTCTCATTATTACAATATATAATCCCAAAAACTAGGCAACTTGTAATACATTAGTAGTACACCACATGAGAGGAACACAAATTTGTTGAAATTTTGTGTTAGGTTCAATATAATATAGAACATATATTTACGTATTTTATGTAATACGACATCTGAAAGAGAGTAACCAATAAGTCAGAAAATAAAACGGTTTAAATAGAAACAGCAGTATAACATTTAAAACCATTTGAGGCAATTTAATTCGAGAACTAATAACCTTTTCGTTCAAAATAGCGTTTATTTTAAGAAAGTTAGCAAATATCACAATATGAAATAAAATATACATTTTATAAGGCGAATTTTGCGTTTCTTTTCGTATATTCGTAAGAAAAAAAAATAAGAATTTTAAATTGTTGGTTATGTTATCAACGTATCACAGTGTTGAAAAAATATTGTTAGAAAATTGTTTATCTGTAGCACATTGATTCTTTTATAAATAATATACTCGGTTAATTTAGTAGAAACTGTCTGGTAAATCTATAAGTTACTTGTGTGCTACGTTAGGTAAAGTTTGACCCACTGAAAGTGGCTGGAAATCACTACACTTCAACCTCACGTGCTCTTACCTGATATTAATTATAAATTAAACAATTATTAACATTAAGATTATTAAGAAAAATAAAACTGAACCAATTAAAACAAAGATTTTAATGTTTATTTTTAAAATTTTATAGTTGTTTATAGATTAGTATTTGCAAATAGAAAGCTTGTAATCGAAATTAATGAATATGCACTCTCATTATTCATGATCATTCTTCTATTTTTAATAAAAGAAATTTAAAACAGTACAAAGTTTGTTTGGATTTTTTATAGTGAGAGGTAGGAATTTTTGTTTGTGACAATGAATTTGTCAAAATATTTCCAAGCTGAGCGAAATTACTGTATCAGATAAACTTCTTCTTCTTCTTAGGGTGCCTGTCCGTTCCAAACGTTGGCGATCATTCTGGCTGTGATGACTTTGTTAGTTGCTATACGGAATAGCCGTGTTGATGTCTTTCTATACCATGCTCTCAGGTTAGCAAACCAGGATATTCTTCTTGATCCTGCGCCCTTTTTCCTTTAACTTTACCTTGCAAATCAGATGAACAAGGAAAATCATTTTATTCATCTCTTAGTTTTCGCGTAACAAAAACCACTATAGATGAATTTTTGAGGACAAAATTCTCTTGTCAATCACTGCTATGTTTGCAAATTTAGAATTTTCTTTTCAAGAAATTGATTTCTGTATACTGTTAGTGTTTCCATGATATTTCGTGCACAAGTACACGTTTTAAAGCTTCTCCCTCTTTGTCTGATATTCAGCAATATCCATTGTTTATTCGTAAATTTTTTTCATGAACAAATATTGTATTAAATAACGAACGAACATAATAACAAAATCATTTGTAGTCAAGTTAAATTTTTAACTAATAATGTAGGTTGATAACATATCCAGCAAATACTAGTGTTTCTTTTAAACATAACTTCAAAACTAAAGATAACTTCAAATAAAGAAGACTGTAGAACGTCAAGTGTCTACAATAGAAATATAATTAACAGATTTTCATCAGCAGTCTTCTCAAAAGTGTCGATAAATTAAACTATTTACAATATATTTAAATTATTATATAAAAAACTTAAATCGTTCTAGTTTTTTACAGATTAGATGAAATTTCATGTCTGAAATTCTTAACCAACGAAAGTACAAACATTTAACAAAATGTGAATCATGAAAGTTATATTTTATAAATAAAAACTAAAAAATACATTCTTCATTCTAAATCAAATAATTTCAATTTTACAACTTATTACTCATTTTTGTCAAGCAGATTTAGTTGCTTGGCAAAAAAGACTAAAGTTCTTTGATATTTAATATTGTCACTTACTCAAAGATTTGTGAAAGAATGGACCACAAATAAAATAAAAATTAATCCTTGTAGAAACACTAGTCGTCTAGAAAACCATGCAAATAGTTCGAAAACGACAAAAGAGTTCAAATAAAAGTATATGAATCAAAAGCAACTACAATATAATGCTAATACAGTTCCAAAGTTTAAGACTTGAAAATATATTTAGCGGACTTTTTGCTTCATTCGAGTTTCTTCAGGGACTATTTTGATCATGCGACATAAAGATATAAATATTTTCTTTACTGCACAATAATCAAGCATATATTTTTTATATTATATCTTTTACTTCAGGAGTCAGACTAAAAGTATATGAAGTAACCCAAATATCAACCTCACCTGCGCGAGAAGAGAGAGAACGAGTAAACCCTATACCCTACTAGAAATCAAACTAGGCGACCGAGAATGGGCGGGATAGCCCTATTAGAATGATATAGTGTTTTAACGGAATCGAGGAAATTTAATTCCCAATAATTTTCCAAACAGTTTGATAAGCATGAAAGAATATGGTTCACAAACCTTCTTAACAATGAGTTTTGTCCAAAAATGGATAGAATAAGGCACTTATATACACGAAATCACAGTTTTACATTACTTTTTACGTAAATAAATGTTAATAAGATAGATAGATATATAGATAGTAAATAAATAGAAATTATACGAAACACTTAAATAAGTCATTAATTGACTTATGCACAGGTGACAACTGACAACATTTTCCTAGTAAAAATCAAATGACAGGTGACTAAAAAACAAATAATGACGTCTGACTTGAAAATGTGCATGCTTTACTCTTAAAACTTTTTTCTTCTTCAATTTAAACAGTCTTTAACTCTTTTATGATGGTTTAAATATATAAAAACTGTATAGAACAGTTAAATAAGTGATTAATTGACTTATGCACATGTTACAACTGACCCAGAAGAGTTTCCTAATAAAAATTAAATGACAGGTGACTTAAATGATGGAAAATGACGTCTGACTTCAAAATGTGCATGCTTTAAGTTTATAACTTTGTTTTTCTTCAGTTCAAATAGTTTTGAATTCTTCTGATGGTTTAAATAAATAGAAACTGTATAGAACAGTTAAATAAATGATTAATTGATTTATCGACAGATGACAACTGACATAGAACAGATTCCTTGTAGTCAAAATCAAATAACAGGTGACTTAAAAGGCAGATGATCTGACTTAAAAAAAGTGCTCACTTTACGTTTAAAACTTTGTCCTTTTCAATTCAAACAGTTCTGAATTCTTCTGTATTGTTTCAAATGTTTGCAGACACCGTTATCTTATCCGTAATATAAACAAAGCTAGATAGAAAATATCTATAACAAGAAATTGAAGCTATCATCGCTTCGACACTTAAGATTACACTGAAAATATCAAGACAAGTCTTCAATGTAAATAAATGCGACATCCGCAGCATTCTGGAAGTAATACAAAAGCATATACAATCACTGTAAAGCAATCGAGAAATTCTCAAGCAAAAATGACACAATAGATTCCGTTGATTTTGATAATCAGAATCAGTCAAAATAAAAATATCTTTTACTAACGCTACTCAATGTTTATACTCGATAAATTAAGAAAGATAAAATTAGAAATACCATCTAATCCTGTCTAACGCATAACAACATCTCCTAAATAAAATTAAATTTATGTCTGTTTGGGAGGCTCTTTGTCGATCCTCATATCGTCTATTTTAGCGACCAATTTGAGCGCTGGACCGAGCTTCATTGCCATGGCTGTCATAAGGTGGTCTTCTTTGAGGAGCATGAGAGCCTGCCCGTCAATTTCCTCCCTTAGGAAGTCCTCCGCGTAGTCGGAGCAACCCGGGAGGTTTTTGATAAAGTCGAACACTTCTTGAACCTAAAAAAATTTAAGAAAAATGTAATTCTATCTATGTATTGTACAATTCTCATATAATGCATTTTAAAGAATGGCAAACTGCCCACTTTTATCAATAAATGGTTAGGTCTACTTTCACCGGTAAGTTGTTAGTACTACCAGCCAGCTGCGTGAAAGATTTGATTTACTGATAGTTTCTTTTCTGACGGGGAAAATATTTATTTGTTGACAAGTTATGAAAATTTACAAAAAAATACTCTCAAACTATTGTGTTATTTGTCAACACAATCAAGTAAGTTAGGGAAAATATTTAGATTTGTATCTGTATTCGTGAAAAGAAAGGATAATGCAAGAGAATCCTAATATTAAAACTATCTTCACTTTTCAACTTCGTCTATAACGATCTTAATGATTTGGGTAACTCAATGAGTACTATTTCCAAAACCAAGCCCAAATAAATAAGAAGTTTGGGAGTAGTGGCAACCTAGACTACTAGACAAAAAGAACATCTCTAAGAATCGCAAATCTGTCTAGACAGTACACACACGGATTCTTAAGAAGGAAGCTGAAATATCGAGGAAGACATATAGAGGAATAAATGTTTTTGTTAAGGAAAAATAAGAGAACAAATGTTAAAATAAAAATGGTCTACTTATAGGTCTAATTAAACAAATAGAAAATATGCATGGACAAATACTTACACTCCATTTAATAGGATCCACTTTAGGAGTCTCATCTTCAGCGACATTGGGACTGAGGCTGCTTTCAGCACCCGAAGCGCCAGACTCAGTATCAACTTCCATTCCATCCTTATCCCATTTCTTTTTATCGTCACCCTTGTATTTTCCACTAAAAAAAAAATAAATAAAATGAGTATAGAACCAAAGCTTGTCATTATTCACAAAAATATTCATTAAAAGTATTTGTAATAATAGTCACTGAAATATTCACCAAAACCTAATTATGTCAAATAATACGACCTAAAAACTTGTCATGAGTTTGCTAACTTTTACTTATGACAAAACGCAGGGTGTAACAAAAACATGATAATGTTAAACAATCTTGAATTTCTTCTATTCATTCTTCCCTGGAATCGATATAAATCTCACTGTCACGATATTAATATTTTTTCATTTATTTAGTTATTCAAGTTGGATCCTTTAATTCTTCTTATTTCTCTTACTCTTTTTCCTCCTCTTTTTAGTTATTTTACTACTAATTTACCATCTGCTATTCCATTTTGAAGGGAGTGATAAGGCTTGATCCGGCACGACTGCTGCCAAGGGTCTAAAGGAATAGCAACACGCAAGTTAAAGGTATATTACACAGTACCAAAACCTGCATTGCTATTGCGTGACCAAAAAGAACTGTCAAAAACTGCCACAGCTTGATGCACTAGGTCACTCTTCCTTTCATTTTCATTTTGAGGACTTATAGATATATAAACTAACAAAACTACATGCATAAGGTTACTCAGCAGACTAAGCAAGAGATACATTATCGGGCATCTCCAACTACTTCTCGGGGACAACAGATGTAGCGGGTTTGTAAGGGGACTGATTTACCAGGGTACGGACTTTTGTCGAGAAAATTGCAAAAACAGCAAACCTGAAACTTTCTTTTCAAAATATTGTGGTGATTAGTTAGAAAAATAAAAAGGGAACACTGGTAGAGCTTCTCAAAACAGATGGAACAAGAATTCTACGGAACACAAAAAGAAATATGGAGAATGATCAAAGGACAAAGAAGAGAGATAAACGAACTAATAAAAACGAAACACATTTAGCAGAAATCATGTGCAGACTACTTTCGATCCCTATTTGCTAAAAGCGACGATAATTATAAAGACGAGAACACAAGAGGTGACGGCAAACAAAGAAATACATATTGAGGAGGAAGAGGTAAAGGGAGCATTAAGGAAATTAAAAAATAGAAAATCACCAGGAGAGGACAGAATATCGAATGAACTCCTAAAGTAAAGAGGACCAGATCTGACCAAATAACTACTAAAACTAATCGAAAAAATAATAGAACAAATGAGAATTTCTCAAGAATGAAGATCAAGCATCTGGAGTCCTCTATTGTTTCACCTGATTAAAGATGAAATAATAAAAAAAAAGTAAAAATTAAAAAACTTCTCTAAAGTGAAGATGATTTACAACGTATGCTGCACCAATTTAATATAACCGCCAGAAAATTTAACGTGTTAATTTCCACAAAAAAGACAAAATACATGGCTATAAAAGCAAATTTACCAAGCCTGTCTATTCTGCAAGTCTTCGTCGGATAGATTTCTTGCTGAAATTGCCTTTGAAATTCCTTGCATCCATGTTGTTGGTGGTCGCCCTCGTTTTCTTTTCTCTGGTGGTACCCATTCTAATATTTTTTTGTAGTCTTTCTTCCCCCATACGTCTAACATGTCCATATTGTCCATACCATGTTAGTTGTTGTTTTTCGATGTCTTCTATAATTGATCTTTTTACATTCATTTGATTCCGTATGTCCTCATTTCTCACATGTTCTAATCTAGACTTTGCCGCTGCTCTCCTCAAAAAATCCATTTCAACTGCCAATAGGTTAGGTACCTTTAAGTTTTTGTGACAACTGCCATACTTCTGAAGCATAGACGATTACTGGTTTCAATATGGTATTATATATTCTTGTTTTCGTTTCCGTTCTTATATTTTTCTGCCATAGTACTGAATTCAATGCACCTATAACTCGTTTATCTTTGGTTATTCTGTCTTTTATGGCTTTATCAGTTCTTCCTGCCTTTGTTAGTTTTACCCCCAAATATATACATTGAAAAATAAAGTTCCTACATATAATTCCACAAACGTTACACCCTTCGTTAAATAAATGAATTGCTTTACTGCTATCCGAAACCTTACATAAAGTTACAATTCAAATTAATAAAACAATTGATGTATATACCTTTCAGCTAAAACCCACCGCAGTTTCTGATGACTCACTCTGTATAAGTTATGTGATATAAACTTTCTATAGGTTATGTGATATAAATGTGCATTATAAATTTATTATTACAAAAGTATCTATAAATTGCTAATCAAACATAAAATATAGAGACAATAAGATAGTACATACCTTTTCGAGCAGGCGACAGAACAAAACCGTTTGTTCTTCTTGAACTTGGCCTTGAGATCAACAGTTCCGCAAGCTTCACATTTAGCCGCCATATCTCCCTTCCCTCCCGAACTTATATTGAAGGGAGACGACGCTCTTTTCTTTTCTGTAAAGAACAATCCACGATTAATTTAAAAAGTATAAGTCGGTAATTGGAGTAAAAGTGGAATCGATAGCATGAAGGTCGGCGTAGGTATATCGTTTAATATTGAATTGATTGTTGGGTTTGAAAGTGACGTGGATAAACAGACGGAGGATTCGATGAAGAATATATACGGGCGAGCAAAAAAATAGGTTACTACTCACTTGTTGACTCTATATATATATATATATATATATATATATATATATATATATATATATATATATATATATATATATATATATATAATATATATATAATATATATATATATATACATAATCCCTCTTTAAGTCCTTTTCTTTCTACATACTGCGGTAACATTTTCTTTAGAATTCAATGCGAAGATGTTTTTGTTAGAACTGTTCTTTTCGCTTATAAATTAATATTACTGCTTACGACGCATTGCTAAAAGCCGAATTGTATGGTCTAATAAAACCAGCGAAACCAAGATTTCAAAATTTTATGATTCATAAAATACTTGAAAGAGAAACAGTTTACTATTTGGAGGTAGAGGAGAAATACATTTTTTTTGTATCTCAATTAGAAATAAAAAAAGAGCGAAAAGCTATTTTGACCTGAATTGAAAAACTGATATGAATTAGTGCAAAAGCAAGAAATGTTTTGAAAATTAAAAACAATATTTTCAATTATCTTTCTTCTAATCTTTTTTAAAGCCATCCATAATAGTATCCGTACAATATTCCAAAATGTAAAGAATAAACTTACTTGGAGGTTCATCACTGTCTTTATCATTGGAAGACTGGGTCGGTTTAACATCTCCTAACAAACTGCTTCTAGTAACGGGGAATGGCTCGGACGATTCCTGTATGACGAAATCTTCAATGACGTGGGTCAAAACTTGCGGTTTGACCATAGCCTTCGGGGGACACCTCTCCTTAACTTCTTCTGCTGTTGTGGCCACGGGAAGGTTATTCTCCGAGATGCTAGTAGGCTGGGAAGAGGGCACTGTGCCGGGAATCGGGGCTGGTTGCACGATACTGGGTTCAACACCGTTCTGAAGCGGCTTGGTTTCGGCGATCGGGGGAGGTTCTTTGATTTCGGGTTGCGTCGATGTAGCTAGAAAAGAAAAATACATTTGGATTTATACTAAACATTTGTTTAAACTCGGTAACCTTTCTCCGATGTAAAACATGCATGGCAACATTTAATTGGCGTGGAAAAGCTACGGCGACTACGCCTCAATTCCATTTTGAAATTTATGTATTTAGACGTTTCAGCTATAACTGTCAAAGTCATATTGGCATATTGAAGTAGTGAATAGTAATACATACTTAGTACTAGAGTAATTCATTTTATCTCGCGAATGGGGCTTCAAAGAAATTATTAAGGGGTATTAGGAGATTGAAATTCTTGTCTCACGAAAATAGAAAACACTTGTTAGAATTAAATTTAACGTTACAGTATTCTGCGAAATAATTCGAACACCAATCGTAAGTTTAATAAGAAATATAAATTTTTCTGAACACGTTTTGAGATATCATATAACACTGTCTAATATTGTTTAGGGCTCCAAAACAGCTAATTCCTATATAGTTTTGCTTGTTGAAACGAATAATCACCATGAAATTGTTCAATTATCCCTTCAACAAAAGAAAAAGTTACATGTTGATTCTTACAAACACGTTTTCAGTTTGAAGGTAATTTAGTTTGGCGAGAACTGATAATTACTACTTCTGTTCCCAGTTCAACTCTCCAACTATAAAGCAGAGTTGTCAATGAAAAACAGAAGGGCAATTCAATATATGAATATTCTGTATTCAAATAGCCAATCAGTTCCTATTACACGATATTATAGAAGAAGAAACGATGATAAACGGCACATGAGTCATTGAGTCGAGAAGTGTTGATCATATTCAAGATCTTGACTTGTCAGGTAGATATTTTGGGGGTCAAGACTACAGCAATGGAATCTTCTTAAACGTGATGTCAGAGCAGAGTCTCGCATTACAGACATCGGTAGCTGAATCTGCTCATATTTTTTGGGAAAAAAAGAGAATCTTGTTTTTTTTCTACAGATGTTAATGATTTGAAGAAATGTCTAAATTTGGACTATAATCCGACTTTGTAGAGGCCATTCGTAGACTTCTCTAAACTAAGTTTAAAAGTTGTGGTAATTCACAATGGCAATCATCACATTTCTATTCCTGTTGGTTATGCTGCTCCGATGAAGGAGAACTATTTAAACTTGACAGCATCCCTCGACTCAATCAAATACGATGAATACAAATGAAAAATCTGTGGTGAAATCTAAAAGTACTTACAATTTTTTTTATGCAGTAAGTCTACAAAAAATATTCCTGTTTTTTTTATGTGAGTCAGAAAATTTTTAAGACTTTTTAAGAGAAAAATGTTGCCAAAGGTATGTGCCAAAATGGATCTTTAAATCTATGGTACAAATTTCTTTCAAGTGAAGCTAAAGTTAAAGAAGGTATTTTTGTAGGGTCACAACTTACGAAGGAACCAGAAAAAGGCCAAGAGAAAGAAGCTTGGTAAGGTATCGAACAAATTATTCGAGGAATCTCACTTTCTCCATTCGCACCTTGACTGTCCTAGTTGTTGGAGCTGAGTGATGAGCATGAAGAAAGATTCGGTAAAGAGAAGATTCTGGTTTATATGTGTGCCCCGGAACTCACTTTTAAGAAACAAGCTAAAATATGGCGATCAAACGAAACCAATACCTGATTCCCTTCAATTGAATCCTTGCAACAAAGATCGTTAGAACGAAAATATGCTTGCTGATTACTGATAGTTTGTGTGTAGAGACGGAACTCACTTGTAATGAGATATGCTAAAAGACAGCGATAAAACTAAACCAATAAGCGATTCTCGTCAATTCTAGTAACCTCTAAAATAACCTTTCATTAATTTAAAACTCTTGGATGTAGCCCCAATTAAAGACAATTCAAAAGGAAACATTTTTAAACTATTTTTTTTTGTAAAGCAGTTTGATCAATAAGTTTTTCTTGTAGAAGTTAGTCTCAAAGGTAGATCTGGAATAAAGCCTCGACTGAGATTTATTCTTGTTGTGAAATATATTTGACTAGTCTAACTTTTACAATAGTCTATTGATCTGGTAAATTTTTTGTCCATTCAAGTTATGATATGTGTTTGTTCTTGACAAATTTGACTTATTTGATCAAGTAATTTGACTCAAACCGGCATATTTATGTTTCGTGGACCTCAAGATGACATTTGGCATGGTCAAATTAAAGGATGTTATCCACTTATTGTACGTAAGAGAGATACCTCTAGGAATAATGAAAATGCTTTAAAATATCTAACAGAACAACCCAATAAAAATAAAAGTAGAAGGATTCCATGTGCCCTCTATTGTCCAAACCAAACTGATTACATGGTAATAAACAACCCTATTAAAAACCAAACCAGGACCAAAAGAGCAGGAGCACTAAAAGAGTAGATCACAACCCAATAATTCGCATCTTTAGATTTAAAGGTAAAATGTGACCACTAGACCGGTTGTTACATATTACATTGCTATTTAAAAAACTAATAAACCTAAAGAAACATTAAGATCTGGAAGAGTAATAAGAAAACATCAAAACTAGCATATATAGCGGTGGGATGCAAAAATATACAAGTAAATAAAAGTTGAATAACAGAGAAAATAATATACACAAATAATTGAGATAACAACCAGTGAGTTAAGTTAAGAGTTAACATACCACCAAAAGATCGAAAAACGGTAAAGCAGGAGGACCTGGAGACATCCCAATTGAGTTGGTAAAGTATGGACCAAAAATATGACATGAGATGTTGGTTTAACTATTTAACAAATGCTTAAAAGGACGAAATATTCCTGATGATTGGAATGTTGGATACATCAGCTCAATATTCAAGAAAAATGATAAACGCAAATGCTTTAATTATATAGGAATAACTGTTATCAGCTCAGTGGGAAGGTTGTACTGTCGAATAATAAAAGAAAGAATATAATCAGAATACGTAGCAGGTAATCGAAAAACGGAAGGCAAGGAATCTATCTACCCAGTTATTGGTTGTAGGTTTAGAGAAGGCATATGATATGGTACCTTTGAAAATACTGTTTCAAATATTGACGAAAGTAGGTCTCAGTAGAGAGTATGTGGATGCGCAAATATATACAAAAATGCAAGAAGTGTCGTTAAAGAAGGAAACTTTATATCTGAATCATTTCCAATAACAAAGGGGCTTAAACAAGGATGTCTATCTCCGACCTTATTTAAAATATATATTCAATCATCGCTAGAGCAGTGGAGGAAACAAGAATCCAGTATGGGAATAGACATAGGCGGTAGTAAATGTAAATGAATATGTCAAAGACAGAGTATCTTAAAATAGGAGATGGTGAAAAAGATCCAGAGTTAGAAATTAGAAACACAAAATCATGTAATGAATATCAATATCTCGGATCTATAATATCTAAAGAAGGCACTACCACAAGAGACATCGAAAACAGAACGCGACAGGGAAAAAAGCGGTAAACATTCTAAACTCTCTACTATGGTCTAAAAATATTAGACAAGAAACGAAATTGACAATTTATCGAACCTTGGTAGAGCCTAGTATGACCTATGGGGCAGAAGTTTCGCAGATCACTAATAAAGATAGAAAAAGAATAGAAGTAGTAGAAATGGATTTTCTAAGAAGAGCGTGTGGTGTATCCAAAAAAGATCATATCAGAAATCAGGAAGATATTAGAAGGAGGAAAAATAGTGTATATTCCAGTGTAGGCAGAATTGAAACGAGATAACTAATGTGGTACGGTCACGTGAAGCGAATGAATGAAGATAGATGGCCAAATAACGGTTTAAATTAAGATATTAGAAGGAGGACAAATAGTGTATATTCCAGTGTAGGCAGAATTGAAACGAGATAACTAATGTGGTACGGTCACGTGAAGCGAATGAATGAAGATAGATGGCCAAATAACGCTTTAAATTAAATACTGCAACAAATAAGAAGAAGGGGAAGGCTTTCAACTGACTTGGAAGAAAATGTACGGCACTTAATGAGAGATACAGTAATCAAAGATGGCGGTCGAAATGCAAGAAGCGGCAGAGGCTGTAGGAACCTCTCTTTAGGCTGTACGAACACAGAAAATTAAAATTTTAGGATTATGAAAGAAATTTCAAAAATAATTAACGAGAATATAAATTAATAAGAACTGCGAAGAGGCAGAACTGTTAGTGTCAAGACACGACACCCTAATTTCCATAAGAAACTTCCGACAAACAAAATTGAGAACTAACAACACCTCCAAGAAAACAAACTTCTTAAAAATAAAAAAAAAATAAACAATATAACAGATCACGAAGAACTATGCAACCTCTGGCAAACATATAGTACTAAAGAATTACAACAAAAAACAAAAACTGTGAAGATAATAACTCAGTGTGAATTGGACTAAATATAAGAACTTTTCAGACACAACGGACTTGTGGTAATGACAAAATAAATAATAAAATATGTGACTATAACCGTCAATATTTTCCTACTACTATGTTATCCAAGAACTGGCCTAAAATTACAAATTATAGAACAATGTTTACATCTAGCCGGCACTGAAATTAATAATACACGAATACACTTGTAAAAGAAGTACTATTCCTAATCAAAAACGAAAATTATTAAGATGTCATAATACACACCTTCTTTAAAAGAAGTAAAAATTAAATAGATCGAATAACAACGCAATAAGCAAAATAAAAATATCACAATATCGTGTACGTACTAACCTTTCCGCGACAGTATAATTTTCATAATGTTCATTAGGATTATGTATAATAATTTAATCACTTCAACATACACATAAATCCAACAAGTATCCGCACACTAACTACCGAACGTGAATTAAATCAAACGCGATTTCCCAGAAACGTTTTTAAACGAAATTTCCCGGTAAACATTCACGGAAAATCCAATTTCAAATGACGCATCTACGTGTTCACCGATTATACGAGTAGTGCAACTCTTTGCCGAGTTTCCCGAAGGATGAATAAAGGAAAGCGGGAACTTTAATATGTACAATGAGTGTCGGGAAACAAATACACTAATCAGGGTGACAGTCTTATACTAGATTGAATACTTATATTGCATATATTATTTTTATTTATCTGTATATCTTTGGACTGTCTTTTATAGAAGATATTGAAAATATAAATTGACATAAATAATAATTAAATATGGCTTGCTTTAAATCAAAATTGCCAATTTTGACAGCTGTCATTTTTTACGTTGCCATTTCATTTTCACACAAGAATAATCAATATTAATGAAAGCATATTCATTAAAATCTTTCTATTTCTAAATACTAATCTATAAATGAGAAAAAACCTCAAGAATAAATGTTTTAACCCTTGTTTTAATTGATGCAGTTTCATTTTGTTGATAAAGTGAATGTTGTGAATAATAAATTGTTTAATTTACAATTAATATTTGCTGTCAATATGTGTGCTTGGTTGTATAGTAACTTCTAGCCAATTCCAGTGGAGTTCAAAAGTTATTCGATAAAAATTAATTAAAAAGTAAATTTCACAGTTGGAACTGGATCAGTGAATCGAGTATCATTTCGTATGTAATTGGATTTGTTTACAAAAAAACCTTTTAAAACTATGTGGCTTATTTTCAAACTAGACAAACAAGGAAAACTGGCAGCTGTCATACTAGAACAGCACTTATAAACAGACCGTAGATGAAGAACAAGAAGAGAAACTTATTTTTTTAATAAATCAATGTTGCAAAACTTTATAATAAAATAGTTTTACTTAGTATAAATCGTTCGTATTTTTGTAATTAAGTTTGGGCGCTAGCCTACATGCGTGCTCTTTTCAGCAACTACTTCTTCTGTATTTCTTATGGTGTCTTTACCTTCAGGTACACAGCCACATTTCACTATTAACAACTTTTAGAAGAGATTAATGATCACTTTTGTATTATGCGATAAGTTTTATATGTTCAACCGAGCCGATATAAAAATACATAAATAATAAATATCGACAAGAAGGTTTAATGTAGTTTACTTACCATCAACAACAGGTTCTTTGACACTTTCCACAGGAGCAGCAATATTCTGAACTTGGGTATTGTCGGTCGTAGTGGGTTCTGTCGGTTCTTCTTTCGGCAGATTTATCGTCGGAGGTAAAGGTACTTGTTGAGGCTGAGTGATAGCTATCTGTTGTGGAGCAGTGGTCTGCATTTGTTGGATTTGCGCGGGGCTTGAAGTTACTTGAGCGATCGATGTGGGCTGGGCTGGACTTGTTTGGATTTGTCCTATTATCGTTCCTGGCGGTGCCATCTGCTGTAACTGAAATTTATTTACATTTAGCACTTCTCAGGTTTCTTTCTATAGTACTAAAGTATTTATGTACTACTACATACTAAAGCACTATACCTATTAACAAAATATGATTCGATTGTTGAAGTATTTCTGGTTCTTGTTAGAATTGAAAGACTGAATATGTCTTAGAGAATATACGTCATTGTTCTCAGAGCCATTCTGATAACATTGTAACACCATATCTATAAACACCGAACCGACGTTAAAACAATTAATAACTTTGTTAGTTAATTATATTTGATAAGAGTGTGACTAATTCGCATAATTGCGCATTCAGCGCTTGTTATGTACAGAGAAGCCAAAAATAACAATCGACTAAAATGTTAATGGGTTTTTTCATTTGTTGTATTAAAAAACTGGGTTTTAGTTAGTAGTTCACATTTATCCTCCATGCACAATAAATGACTCCACTAGAACTTTAGATTAGATTACCAACGTAGACCAAAGGCTCAAAAGGCCAAGGTCTACAGATTGGGAAATAGCCACAGCAATCACAAGACCCAACATAATTAGATGGGCTATAAATAAGTTTCGGCCACATAAGTCTCCAGGGATGGATGTCATATATCCAATACTGTTGCATATGGGATTAGAGTTATTGATACCACACCTATTCAAGCTCCTCAAAGCCAGTTTAGCATGGGGGTCGTACCGGAAATATGGCAAAAGGTTAAAGTCATATACTTGCCTAAGGTAGGTAAAGTATCAGACCTAACACTAAAGTCATATAGACCGATAAGCCTATCTTCTTTTCTATTAAAAACGCTGAAAAGGCTTCTTGATAGGTACATCAGAGATGAAGTGCTAAAAGATAATCCTCTAAGTAATCGTCAATATGCACACCAACCTGGTAAATCTACGGAATCTGCGTTGGATGACCTAAATAGGCTTATCTCAAAGTTAATGGAAGACAAAGAGATAGCAATGGCCGTTTTTTTAGATATAGAAGGGGCATTTAATAATGTTACCACCAGCTCTTTGATAGGAGCTATGAGTAGACAAGGCATACCTGCGATAATATGCAGATGGATAAGGGCATCCCTGGAGAATAGGATAGTAATGTCCACTCTGAGTAAAGCAACCATCAAAGCAAAAGTAGGCGGAGGCTGTCCACAAGGAAGAGTTCTGTCCCCTCTACTTTGGGCAACCTTGGTAGATGATCTTCTCAGAAATTTGTCCACAAAAGGCTTCTATTGTCTAGGATATGCTGACGATATAGCAATCGTCGTCAGCGAGAATGCAAGCAGCCCTAAATATAGTTGACGACTGGTGTAAACAAGAGAGACTGGTAGTCAATGCTCAGAAAACACAAATCGTCAATTTCACCAAGAAAACAGCACTACAAGGCCTAAAACTACCGGTGCTGGGAAGAACAGAGATTTCATTTGCCAAAGAAACAAAATACCTTGGGGTATATTTTGATCATAGGCTTACATGGAATACTCACATTCTAAAAACCACACAGAAAACTACTATGTCCCTGGGCAGATGTAGAAGAATGTGCTCTAAGAATTACGGACTTAACCCCAAAATGACTCTATGGTTATACACAAGGGTTATTAGACCCATGATAACTTATGGCTCGGTGACGTGGTGGATAAAGACGCGGCAAGTGGGAGCAATAAGGCTGCTAGGTAATACACAAAGGCTAGCATGCCTGTGTATTACGGGGGCCATAAAAACAACTCCTACTGCATCGTTGGAAGTCCTGTTGAGTTTACCACCACTTCATATCTTTATACAGGGAGAAGCAACATCAGTGATACACAAATTAATCCATAGTCAGCGACATATAAACCAGATGCATGGTACCGACAACAGAAAGCTAATCGAGGAGCTAAAAGCCGATATTGTGATGGAGAAACCTATCGATGGAACAGCTACGAGATATAGTTTTAAAAATAAATTCACAATTAAGATACCAGTCAGGGAAGACTGGAATAAAGGTGTACCCATAAAAGCTGCTGCTACCTGGTACACGGATGGCTCAAAAACATCGGAGGGTGTTGGAGCCGGCATAGTAGGGACAAATAAAGCGATACATTTCCCGATAAGTCTATCTAAGGATGTGACAGTTTTCCAGGCGAAAATAACTGCAATCCATCACTGCGTGGAAGAAATAGAAAGGCAGGAAAGAACGTTCTGTTCAGTTGCTATCTTCACAGATAGTCAGGCAGCGCTTAAGGCACTCAATTCTGTAGAGGTCAATTCTAAGCTAGTATGGGATTGCGTGTATGCCCTAAATAAACTATGAGACCGTAGCAAGGTTACGGTAGTCTGGGTACCGGGGCTCGAGGGTCATAAGGGCAATGAAAAAGCAGATGAATCATCAGTGCCATTTCATTGGACCGGAACCCTTCTGCGGCGTTGCAAAGTCAGTAAGTCTCTAGAATGGTGGAGGAATTCACCAGGACAAGGACAGGCGAAACAGTTCATTAGAGAACATTCGCCAACATTTACGGCAGACCTAATAAGCAAAGACAGGAAAACAGTCAAAGCCATAGTAGGTCTTCTAACAGGGCACTGTAAGCTGAATAGGCACTTGAAGCTGCTGAGATTATCAGATGATGACCTGTGCAGATTATGTCACCTCGAAGAAGAAACAGCAGAGCACATTTTATGTCAGTGTGACAGTCTGGCAAATGTACGATTTTTTGCATTAGGAGAAGAAAATCCACCGGCAAATAGCTACATGGAAGGTACAGTCTCGAAACTACTAGACTTTATAAAGAGGGTCAGGCTAGAGAATGTTATCTAGGACTAGAGGACCACAATAGATCTGAAAAGGTCGCAGTGGAATAGGCCGAAAGGCCACCTCTGTTAATATAATCCACTAGAACTTTTTTAAACTAAATATATCTCCGAATGAAGTTAGCTACAATGCAACTTCAGTAAAACACAAAGAAAGGTTAGAAACTTTACAATTTTATATTATTTAATGAAATCTGATCTTTAATTTTTTTTTAATTTATATAAAATACGAAGGAATAAACATTTGTTTCTTTCGATATTAGTTGCAGTTAGTTATTAGAAAACAATTACAATTGCCCTTTGATAGATTAACGGATAAATTTGACAATAGTGTCAGAACCTTCAAAAGACAGATTGCAACACATATTCAGCATATATCAATTTTATGAACACCAGATCTGTAGTAATTAAAATACATTTTTTCAAATTTACATTGCAGAGATTAAGCTACCATTATTGACAATTTAATCCATAAAATAGGAATTTGTAAATTTTATATTTATTTTCGTGGAAGCTGTCGTTCAGATGGTTGAAACGTTACACTGAATAATTTTGTGAAGGATTGTTCAATCACAAATTAATCCCGTAATTTTTAATCTCACATTATTCGTAACTTCCTAACCTTTTATAGTTTCACCGTGTATAATTGAAACATATCGAGTAATATTTTAATAATTAGAGTCCATTTAACCTGCCTACCTGCAAACTTAAGAAATTTCCAAATAATATACATATTTTCTAATTGAACTTTCTAAGTGTTGCAATAACGGCCTAGATTGAACTGTATTGTAAGCTCATAGTTCAAAGTTTGTTAGTATGATAGAAGCATTAACTATAATTATATTACTATAACTATAGCAAAACTATAATTTTTACCACACACTTCAACCATTTATTTAACATCGTCGACCGGGAAGAATCGGACAAAGTGGCATTAGAAATCAATTCGATCCTGATATTTACATCGAATTGTCCAAGGATTGCGGCTTATTTTCATACAGATAATAACAAAGTAAAAATATATATTACAATCTTTACAGCAGAATTTAACTCAATTCATTATGTTCGTTACCAACTTTAGTATTTATATTGAAATAAAATATATATTCTTTTTTTCGTTATTTCACTGGCAAATACAAAATTTCCTTCATTTGTAGCTACCTTCATTGGCAACGTTCTCATATATAATACATTGGGGGAGTATAAGCCGCTCATTAATATGAATAATGTATAAACTAAATATGTAAGTACAAAAGTAAATATATCTACTACCTGTTGCAACTGCTGCATATTCATCTGCATGGGTTGTTGAGTTACGGCAAGATTGGACTGCAGAGGAAGGCTCTGTTGTATCGTACCTATGTTTTGTTGGGACATCTGTTGTACTTGCTGGGAATTGGCTTGCGTGGACATCGAAACAACGGGCATGATGGGTCTGTCACCGGCCATCTGGAGTTGCTGAGAGTTGATAGTAGGGAGAGTTTGAACTAAAAAAGATGGCGCAATTTTTAACAATATATGTATTTATATACCAAAAAAGATAAAACGCAGATGACACATTTATAGTTGCGGTAAAACGCTTTAAATGCGGCGATGTTTGATCCATTATCTTTTACAACCGAGCGGATGCCTGAGTGACGCGTTTTAGTTGGGAGCAGTTCGTTGGTAGAGTGTTGTTTGCTGAAATTATTTTGAATAGTGATGGCACCCGTGGGACACTGTTGGTGAAAATATTGAGTGCGATATCAACACTGATTTTGTAGAAAGTACCAGTGACGGTGTGATTCGAATCACATCTTTGGGATCAAAGTATAAAGCGTGCAAATACATTTTCTAAATTTGAAAAGAAGGTAATTAGGCTAATTAAAAAAGAAGTAGGTATCTAATATTATCAAAGAACGCTGGCAGAAAAGAATCGCCAAAGTGATCAAAGTTGAAGAATATTATAAGATTGGACACTTCCAAAATAATGGTGGAAATAAGAAAGAGAAAATTAATTAAATATATAAGTATTTTAGTGATTCCTTGTTAATCGTTGTGTTGCCCAAATTAATAATCCGACAAATTACAAGTGTAATCATGAAAACAATCTCGTTTTTAAAAAGTTTATTATTTTTGTGTATTGTATTTTTGCATATTGTATTTCGCTAATCTATCTGGTCCCATTCGGTTTACATGTTCGTTCCAGTTCTTTTTCTTGTTTTTATCCACCTGTTAATATTTTGAATTTTGCATTGTTAGCTTCTGTTGGTTTGTCTGTCTCTTAATGATATACCCGCTATTGATCTTAATACTTTCATTTCGATATTGTTGATTTGTTGTTTCGTCTTTCTTGTATCGGTCTTGTCTCCGCTGCATATGTTAGGATTGGTCTTATTGTTTTCTTGTATACTTTCATTTTGCTTTCCGTTTCTCCATATGGTTTCTCGAAAGCAAAAACTTATTCCTGCCGCTTTTGATGCTTGCCTCGTGGTCTCTGTTCTTATATCCCTGTCATAATTTAATTAATTTTGTAAAATTGTAATTGAATTTCATTACTTGTTCGACAATTTTGCCGTCTATTTCTAGTTTGTGTCTACGCGGCTCTTTACTGATCACTATACATTTAGTTTTTTCTACTGATATTCTATTAAGTTTGTTTGCTGTGATATTGAAGGTGTGGAGCTGCCTTTGTAGGTCATCTTCGTTGTCAGCAATTAGTACTGCATCATCGGCATAGCCTAGTGTCGTGTAATATAAGTAAAACTCATAAGGCATAGCATAAGTAAAAGTCATAAATAGCTAGGACATGAAACATATGATTAGCGAGGATAATCAGATCCAGAGAACTGAGAGAAACTATTAAAAGTGAGCTGCCCACATTCCTGAAGGGAAAAATATGTGATTCATGCATCCTCTCAGTGTAGACATACGGAGCAGAAACACTTATTTTAACGGTGAGACAACATAAAAAACGAAGAGGTTGGAAGAAGAACTAAGGTGACTGACGTCATCCAAAGGATAACCAGATTAAAATGGAGATGGGTAGGACACATAGCTAAAATAACGGATGGGAGATGTACAAAGAGGTTATTGGAATGGAGACCAGTCTGTGTTCAGCAGTGGACTTTGAGGCTATATGATGATGAATCACTAGTTTTTGTCATTTGTTTGTTATTGTCTTTGTATTTTTGCCGTTAAAACTCCTTATTTTTTTTTATATTTACTATCATCTTCGTCAACTTCTCCATCTCTTCTATGCATATGTTTACTAAAATTTTTGCATCTTGTTGGAAGCACAGCTTTCTTATTGTTCTGAAGCTATTTTCTTGTGGCATTGTAAATTAATTAATTAAGAGAACGATTTCCGAATTGGAAATTGAAACGTCAATAAACGTATTTTTATCTTTAATTGTGGCTTATTCCCAGTTATAAATAGTAATTCACAGCTTTCTTATCGCGGGCTACTGACGGAAGAACGGACATTGATCGGTATAATGGATCGCGCTGATGAGTTAAAAAAATAAAAACCAATAGCCATGAAACGGAAATACAATGAAACTGTTATTCCAAAACATTATAAAAACTAAAGAAAAAATTTAATACATACAATACGTACTCATCATGGGTTTGGGCTGGATATGCTGCGTCTGCTGTCCTTGTTGATTCGCCTGTCCCTGTTGCTGTAGCTGATACTGTTGCATGGCAGCCTGTTGCTGCTGTTGCATTTGCTGCATCACTACGGTTTGCTGGGTCTGCGCCTGTTGTTGTTGAGCGTTACCTTGTTGCTGCTGTGCTTTGTTTTGGTTTGCAAGTTGTTGAACTTTTTCAGCGGTCATCGGGGATCCCGGTGTCATAGTGGTAGTCATACCATTCGCGTTCATGACCAGCATTCTGGAAAAGTCACTTTGGTTTCTCAGTTATAAACGCCAAATCAAAAAGTAGTTTAAAATCATTGTTACAATGAAAGTAGACTGTAAATAAAATATTGAAGTAAATTTTCACTGAAAATATCAACTTTCATTATTTATATCTATCGTTCCATTTCATTCAACACTATAATTACAAATATATTCTGATTGGTTTACTTACTTATTTCCCATTATATGATGTTGCTGTTGCTGCTGCTGCTGCTGTTGTTGTTGCTGCTGTTGGATATTTGAGTAAGGTTTAATTTGTGTCTGGTTAGCTGCATCTGCTTTTGGGGCTGGGGACGTTCGGATCTGTGGTGCTTTGGTGCGAATTTTAGCTACCTGTTTGCTACCTATTGAAGCCTAAGATAAGAAGAGAATAAGTTAGAAAAGAAAATACAGTAAAGAACAAGTACACATTATTAATATATTCATAATAAAACCTCATATGCATAATTATAAAAACATTAAACGAATTATACCAATTTGTTTCTCATATATAGGGGTATTTTCAAATATTTCAGCTGACTATGTAAGTACTTGAGCGACTCACAATCTAAAATAAATGGTGGTACCAGTATTTAGTAAAAAGTTTACTTATTGATTCTGCTTTTCCCTCTCTCTTGAGTATATGTTGGATTCTGGCACTACCTACTGGGTTATCAATAAAGACGAAATCCTCCTATATGATGAAATCCTCAGAATAAAAGTACCAGAAGACGGGGGACTAATTGCATAAGCAGACGATCTGTACTGATGATAATATCATACCCAGTATTGGAAACAATCAGCGAATGGATAAGAGAATACGAACTCCAGCAGGCGCCTCAAAAACAGAAGCCGTGCTTCTAATTGGAAGAAAGAGGGTAAATAGATCAATTTTCATACTAAATGACATAGTGATCAACCCTCAAGAAAATTATCTGTGGCACCCAATATATAGAAATCTACTTTGTGGAAGTCACATAGACAAAGCTACCTATAAATTTAAGAAGGCAGCAGCAGCACTGAAGCGAATAATGCCATTGGAGAACATAAATGTAGAATGCTTGTAGTATCGAAGACAAAATATGTCAGGTGAACAGGCATTAATTATAAATCGCGAAATAAGGATACACTGAACACATCAATGAATCATAGAAACACAAAAAAAGTTAGTCAGAGATACGTACTTTCACTGAACATTAAGAAAACAAAATGTATGACGATCTCTAAGAAGGAAAAGCAAATTGAAAGAATCAGTGTGAATGGTCAACCAATAGAAAAACTAAAACTTACACCTACCTTGTTACGAACGTCAATGAAAATTGGAACCATTCCCTAGAAAGAAAATCTAGGGTAGAGAAGGCAAGATCTGCATTTCAAAAAATGGCTAAGCTACTCAAATGCCACGATTTATCAGTACCCATAACTTGCTATACTGTTGTACGGAGTTGAGTCGTGGACTCTCACAGATGCTAACTGTAAGAAAATTGAGGTTTTCGAAATGTGGCTTTATCGTAGAATCCTGAAGATAACCTATACCGATTACGTTACTAACCACGACGTTTTAATAAGAATGCAAAAAGGAAGAGTTGTTAACCACAATAAAAACAGCCAAAATTGAATACATCGGTCACATAATGAGGAACAGTGAAAGATATGGTTTGCTGCAATTGATTCTTCAAGGAGAAGTAGAATACATAGATGACACCAACTGCAACGAAGGTCAATATATTACCTGCTTGTAAAGTCTGTAAAATCTTAGGATATAAAAACACTTTTCGAAATAATTCACAGATTGATCGTAACATGTAACATATGTTATGCAGATGGAAGCTCTTAAAATGGTCTCTGACCAGAGCATTTAGGAGTGGATTAGCATTTTTAGATTTTTAATAATTTATACACATTTTCCATATTGTGCATTAACAATACTTGCAAAACTTGTATCAACTGGGGTGGCTGCTTGTCCAATCATGCTCCATGCCTACTAAATTGGCTTACTATTCTCTTCCATTCATTCATGCTTGTTGCTATTTCTTCCCAACCATCCATTCCTTCTGATCTTCTTGTACGTTATCAAACCATCTTTGTCTGGGTCGCCTTTTTCTTCTTTTTGTGATTTAAGAGTCACTTTTAGAAGTGACTGATGCTTAATTCGTCATACAGTTCCTCTAGCTCCCTGTTTGTTCATCGTGCTCAACCTCCTACCCTATTTTTGCATTCATATGGAGCTCTGAGCATTTTTCTTTTCCATCTTTCCTATTTCTCCGTATTGATTATATCTTAACTTTGTCTTTCTCGATATATACTTGGATTTTATCAGTGCTTTTAGGCTTCCCATTGACAATCTTGCATCCAGTTTTCATTCTTCCTGACCTGTCTCTTCTATAATAACTCCTAGATAAGTAAAACGGACCACTCTGTCGAAATTATATTCCCTTGATTCATTAGATATTAAAAGTAAACTGTCCCTCTTCTTTTGGCACTTTATTTCCGAGTATCACCTACTTGGACTTTTAATGGTTTATTTCTAGGTCAAAATATTTTGTCTCCTTTTCTAATCTTTTTATATTTTGTAATTATTTTCTTGTTTTCGTAAGAATAGTAAGAACATCAGCGAAGGCCAGACATTGATGTTAATTGTTGAAGATGGATCCTATCGTTTTAACTCGTCTATTTCTGATTATTGTTTCCAATACCAAATTAAAAAGCACCGTGGATAACGGATCCCCTTGTCTACTAAGACCTCTATTCACTTCAAACTCATCCGATGAAAATCCTCCCTATACTACATGATTTCGTGTAGTCATTTTTACTTATCTAACCAGTTCTGCTGGTGCTGGTGCAAGGAGCTCAGTGATTCATACATTTTATTCCTTCTTATCCTATCACACGCTTGTTCAAAATCAATGAACAATGCATGAAGGGTTACCTTATATTCATAGTAGGTAGTCTGGATTTATTTTAGTGCAAAAATCTGATCTGCCACTTATCTACTAACTCTCAAAACCGAGCTGATACTCACCTAGTTTATTATTAGCAAATCTGTTGAGTTTCGCTATTAGCGTTCTGGCTATCTTGTAAAAAGTATCTAGCAGAGCAAAAGTATCTAGCAGAGACACAGAGCAAAACTTTGGTCCAATATTTGGGCATATTTTCCTCTTTCCATATCCTCTTGATAAGACTGCAGATCCTTTTAGCATTTTGTTATTTTTGAGCCCGTTGATTACATTGTTAATCTCCCCTTCACTAGACAGTTCTATTATTATGCCATCATCATGTATAAGGAAATTTTCATTCTCATACATTTTGCCCATTCAGTAGTTCACTAAAATGCCTCTCCCATATACCCATTACTGCTTCTTTTTCACTCGTGATTTTAATTTTGCTTTCATTTGTTCATTTTCTTTAGCTGCTTTCTAATTCTGTTGTTCTTTCCTTTGCTCTGCCACTTTCTGACTCATCTGTAGTCCCCATATGCTGTATTAGTTCTAACAATTTATATAATTTTGCATCCTTATCATTTTCTTTTTTATGGCGGTGACCTTCTCGTTCTCTTACTTCTTCGGAACACTTCAACTTCCTCGTCAGTTTCTTCTGTACTTCTTCGCCTTTTCTGCCACTCGTTATTGCTATCATTATTCATAATTAAAAGTACACACAGCGAAAGCCACCAATCCCGAGTCAACCCGTAAGAGGATTAAGTTTTACAGGTGGTATTCAATTTTACTCTGTGAATTAAAATTGTTATTTCCTCACTAGGACTTTTCTGGTAGCTATCTTTATCTGTTTTAATCCGGCAACGTCGCATGAACATTTAACCTAGTTTCTGCACAAGCAATAATGGATTTTGGAATGACAAGAAAATGGTATACATATTTTACGGTCAATTGCAGACAGCACTGATATTCACTTGTAATTATCACACTTATTTACGTTTTGCAATTTAATTTCAGCTGATTCCCTGTTACTTTCGGTAAAAGATAGGTAGAAATTTAATTTGCTTTTGACTTCAATCAATGCAAAGTTGCCACTCCGTGAAGCAATGCATTAATCTGCTAATATATTTAAGTATCTTACTTAATTGTCTTACCTATCTACAAATGAAGAAGAAATAGAACATCTACAGATTGACGACAACGTAACAATCAAAGGAACGGATAAATTCAAATACTTGGGGTTTATAATCAGGAAAAAGCCAACAACAGAGGAAGAAATTAAACAAAGATTAGGACAAACAAGGACAGCAATCCGAGAACTTAACTCAGTATGGTGGGATAGACACCTAAATATGAAGACAAAAACACAGATTTATAAAACATTAGTGCGAAGTATTATGACATATGGGGCTGAAAATTGGATTATAACCAAAAAAACAGCAGAGATGGAATGCGAAGATGCTCTAGAGTAACAAGAATGGATAGAAGAAGTAGCAACGAAATAAAGCAATGAACATCAATAGAAACAGGCATACTAACATATACAGAACAAAAAAAGACTAAAGTAGTATGGACATGTATGAAGAAGTAGCGACAGCAGATGGATAAAGAGAATAACCGAATGGAGCCCCATAGAAAGGACGAAAAGAGGACGACCTCGAAGATCCTGTAGAAACGAAGTAGACGACGCCATGAGTAAGAGAGGCCTAAACGATGGACAATGGGACAACAGAGAGAGATGGAAACGGTTTAGCGAGGAAAGAAAGTGAATATTATAGAATCCCTGAATACATATACTTAATTGTCTAAGATGGGAATGGTTCAGTTAATCACCTAACCGAATTAACAGTACATGTTAAGAATCCATATTTTGCAGAGTATGCGTGATATAGTTTGGTATCTGAGAGTTCACAGATATGAGAGGTTGGTCTGTAGCGAAGTTCTGTTCCAACTATTGTACAAGAGAAACAAATGCGTGCTTCTTTTAGGCCTGTGTAACAGGTTCTTTTTTAATACTTTTTATTTCGTTCCCTCTCGTGCATTGGATGCCAGCCAGGAGAAATGAATAATCTCTTAAGCCAAAACATGCCTTTTAATTTGAAATCAAGGTAGTGGGTATGTATCATAAAGCGTATCAAATGGAAGGTGTGCTACACGGTCCTGATCAATTAACTTTCTTGGACGTGAAAATGGGAGTGTATGTTGGTAGGGATTGGACTTTAGCTCCGGAAAGGTGTGCTTCTTATGGGGCGGTTACTGTGTAACATAAAGAAAAATATCCTTTTCAAAATTAAAATTAGGAACTACTAGATATATAAATCAATAAAAAGTAAAAAAAGTGCTAGGAACGAATATTATATAATACTATTCGACTAAAAATGAATCCCAGAAGTTTTTGTTAACTGAAATTCCTTTAAACTATGTAGTTCAAAAACAATTAGAATATGACATAAAGAAAAAGTACTTACAGTAGTTTGAGCACCGATCGTTTGCGTTGATACTGAGCTTGCTGGTCTGATATTGGCAGCATTTGAAGGCAGTATGTTAAGAGGTCTAGTTGCTTGCTGCTTGGGTTGGATATTTTCGTTGGAAGGTCTCGGTTTTGCTATTTGCTGGACGGTTCCTTGTGTTGCTATGGTTTCTAAAAGAATACATTAGAAAAACTGTGTAAAACAATTTTATATGACATAGTACAAATAATACAACTAATTATCATAGTTTCTGATCACTACATTCTTCACTAATCTTGTTCTTTATTGTTCTCAAATTGTTTGCCAGTTAAACTTGGTGCTCGATCTGTAGTGACACTAACAAGTTTTGTATATTGTAGTTTATATTTAATTAAGCAATCATTTATTTGGTCAAATATATCACTTCCGATTGTTTGGGCCCTTATTGATTCCATTGATAAAATTTTTTCAATTATGTTAAAATTAGGGTTATAAACCCTTATAAAAAATTATAATTGAGCTGTATCACTTATATAAGGGCTATAGAAAACCATGCTATCGATTGCAACGTTGACAAGACTTAATCATTCATATTAGCACCAATACATTCAATTCTGCGCGTTATTGTACTCTGAGATAAACTTAGTTTGAAATTGTTGTTGTTGTCCCATTTGAATTCACAATTTCAGCAGTGGCAGTAATACAGTCTTTAATGTATTCTCTATCAGACAACAGTTTATTTTTCTATGCAATATCAGCACATGCATAACGCGTTTCTTGTTCCTTTGTCATACCAGTGAATGTGTTTCGTTGTGAAATTAAATTACATTTTAGTTTATCTGCTGCTATAGAACTTCCAAAGTTAATTCCAATTTTATCCATTGGTTGGCATTAAATGTTTGTTATTCTTTTAACACTGCGATACTATCGTGGGAAACAGATTCAGCTTTATTGTTCAAATATGTAAAAAAATATTTTGTTTTCCCGACATCGTTAAAAACACTACTTTGACTTTTCTGGTCTTAATTTTAATAAATTTTACATCTGCTTAGCTTACTTACGCATAGAAACAGAAACAATGTACACTCAAACAACAATTAGATTAGTCAATTAAAAGTTCTCCTGTAAAAGCGAACAATAATACCCATTATGAAAGAAGACAGTTCCGAAGAATTTGAGGTGGGTATGTACTTACTACGGCAGCAAATGTGAGAAACATATATTTAAAACGGCATAGCGATATTAGTTGACTAACCCCGCCTCTAGTGGTTGCTGGGTGAATTGGGCAGCTTTGTAACTATCAGTGCCAGTCCAAAGCTCGGAAAAAGGAAGAGAGTTTGCGTCAGAAAGGGCATCCGGAAGTAAAAACCTTGCTAAAACCATGGAAAGGACGAATATGGAACATAGTTTAAAAGCTAGGGTGTTCTCCGTAAGCGACGCGCAGTTGCGGCTTCGCCTGACCTCTGCAAAAGTAAGCTAGGGCTCCCCCTTAAAGGACGGGAGACAAAGAAGCTAGTACTGAGAGTTGCAACTCTCAACGTCGGAAACATGACAGGTACAGGAAGAGAGCCCACCGATTTCATGCCGTAAAGAAGGATTGATGTACTATGTAATGTGATGATGTAACTCTTGATTGCGAGATCAGTTTTTATTAAATCTTGCTCAAGTACTTTCGCTCCTAGAGCATCTTAAGGAGCATTTCGTCAAAATTAGGCTATCCAATAATATATGGTGAATGTCATAAACATTACCTGATAAATTTACACAACACGAGACAAAGGAAAAGGGGAGTTTATTGGAGGTGATTTGAATGAACATTGGTACAGAAAGGGCGGGAATAGAAAGAGTTCGTGGAGATTTGAGGATGGGAAAAAGAAATGATGAAGGAAATAGCGTGATTGACTTTGCAGTGGCATGGGATTTGGCTGTCATTAATTCGTTTTTCATGAAGACTGGAGACCAGTATGTTATCTATAGTAGCGGGGGAAGGGAAAATCAGACAGATTTTGTGATGGGTAGACGAAGTTAGTTAAAAGAGGTTATGAACTATAAAGTGATAAAGAGTGAGTGTGTAGCTAGTCAACACCGACCGGTGATAGTGGATACGGAGGTAAAGGTGAGATGGAAAAAAAAAGAAGTAGGACACCGAAAAGTAAAGTGGTGAAAGTTAAAGGATAAGGAGTTGGCAATAGTCTTTAAGAGTAGAGTGCTGGAAGAGCTTAAGGAAAAAGATAGACAGTAAATGACTAGTGGGAAGCCAACAGTAAAGTTGTGGTGCGAGTGGGTAGGAAAAACATCAGGTAAAGGATCTCCTAGAGACAAAGAAACTTGGTGGTGAAACTATGAGGTGCAACAGAAGGTCAGAGAGATGAAAGAGGCTAGAAAGAGGTATGGCAGGTCTAAAAGAGAGGAAGATAAGGATATATTCAAGCTGGCTAAGAGGAAGCAAAGCGCTGTAGCTATTGCGAAGGAAATAACGTCTGCACAGATGTATGAAGAGTTGGAAACACAGAGGGGATGAAAAGGTTATACAGCAAGGGACAAGTCATGAAAGAACTGGCCCAGAGTGTTAAGAACCGATGTTGAAATAAAGCAAAGACGGTATGAATACTTTAGAAAGTTGCTAAATGAAGAACACCAGAGGCTCCTTAGTTAATGCTCTTTGCTGATGATATCGTGTTAGTAGAGGAGAACAAAGACATGTTGGAGGAAAAGTTGCGAGTACTGGAGAAGGGCTATTGAAGTGGAAGTACTTAAATTTAGAAGGTCGAAAATTTAGTAAGTGGTTTGGAGCAAGAGGAATGGCTGGGGGCGTAGAATTGCTTTATAACGAAAAAATTGGACACTATATCAAAAAGTTGCCCACAGGATACAGACTCGTTGGTTTAACTGGAAGTGAATGAGGTTTAACTGGAAGTGAATTTTTGAAGAGGACCTAAAAGATATTGATGAAGGCATCTCAATAAATGGAGTCAAGCTCAATACCCTGCGGTATGCAGATGATGCAATAGTGTTTTCCAATACCACAGAAGGGCTGCAAAACTTAATGAACAGAATAACGGAAACAATTAGAACATATGGACTGGATATAAACACCACCAAAACCAAGCTAATGATCATCGACAAGGAAAACATAACTGGAGCAAATCTGTATGTGAACCAAATGAGAATTGAACGTGTCTCACAATAAAATTACTTGGGAACTATAATCAATGAGTCGTAAGACAATACTCAAGAGATTAAATGTCGCATCTGAAAGGCCAAAACTGCATTCTGACTATGAGCTCTGTGTTCAAGAGCCATGACCTCTCTCTGAAAACAATAATAAGGCTCCTTAAATGTTACGTGTACTCAGTGCTTCTGTATGGAGTAGAAACGTGGACATTGAAGGCGGAAACTCTATCAAAACTTCAGGCTTTTGAGCTATGGTTATACAGAAGAATCCTGAAGATACCATGAACAGACAAAGTCACCAATGAAGAAGTACTGCGGAGGATGAACACAACCGCGGATTTGGTCAACATCGTGAAGAGCCGTAAGCTGGAGTACTTGGGACATATAATGAGAAATCAAGGCAGATACGAGCTACTCCAATGCATTTTGCAGGGTAAAATTGAAGGAAAAAGAGCCACAGGACGAAGAAGAATATCCTGGTTTGCTAACCTGAGAGCATGGTATAGAAAGACCTCAACACAGCTACTTCGTATAGCAACCAACAAAATCATCATAGCCAGAATGATCGCCAACGTTCGGAACGGACAGGCACCCTAAGAAGAAGAAGAATGAGCGGGGTACTTCGTGATCTACAAATCGATGAAGGGCTGAAAGGAAGATATACAAGAGACCTGCGTTGGTGTAAGGCGGTGAAGTGTGGCCTGTAAAGAAGATAAAGGAAAAAAAGATAGAGGTAACTGAAATTAAAATATTGCTTAAGACTAGAAGGGACAAGATCAGAAACGGCTTGATTGGAGAAAAAGCCGAGGTGACTAAAGTTTCAAAAAATATTCAAGAACAAAGGCTGCAATGGTTTGGTCATGTCAAGCGTAGAGATGAAAACTATGTGGGACGAAGGATAGACTTGTTAGATGTTGATGGAAGAAGAGAGGAAACCGACAAGATGGTCGGACTGTGTGGCAGAGGACTTGAGAGAGAAAGATTTAGGTGAAGAAGACCCGATGGACAGAAATGAGTGGCGATGAAGACTAAAGAACAGTGAGCCCTGAAAAGGAAAAAGCTGAGGAAGAATAAGAAGAGCAATATTTGTTTCCTAAAATACCTTCCTAAAAATTTAAAAGATTTAGTATTAGTGGGAGAAATCGGCGAGAAGCTAAATCGCTGACACACTTATTTGTTTTTTTTACCCTGCCGTCTTTTTAAGCATTTTTAGAAAAATGTGTTAAGACAATTTGGGGGAATTGATTTAAATGGCAACGTCGTATTTTTATAAGGGTTTTTTAAGAGTAAAATTTATTTTAATATCACTGTACACTTATTATTTACAGGAGAATATACTCAGTTAAGATTAACATGGGCGAAAAATTACGTCTTTTGATTAAAAATAAGACCCTTTTATATAATAATATGGTATTTTCCAAATAATATCTGAAATTATATTTACGTTTAGCTATTTTTTGAAGTAGTGTATGAAAATAAAAATATATATATATATATATATATATATATATATATATATATATATATATATATATATATATATATATATATATATATATATATCTTTAATACTCACGGTTTTGTTGTGTCTGAATTGTAGCAGGCTGAGGATTCTGTTGTATGAACATTCCCGGACCTGGGGTACCATCAGCTTGGGTTCCCCTGATAAAAATTGGATTCGGAGCGATCTGTAATGCCTGTGACTGAAGACCGTTGGTCGTCCAGACTTGCTGTAAGCCATTTGCAGCAGCTGTAAACTGCCAAGGGGCGGCGAATTGAACAGGTTGGCTATTCTGCTGAAAAAAAGTTTAGAAATATAACTAACTTTTATGGAAATTTTGGTATGATCAAAATATGTATTTAATTTATTCTAAGCCAGAAGAATATGTATATCAAATAAAAGCATTAATTGCTGAATTAAGGAAATATATAAAAACGATAACATTGCAAAGTATCGTTCAAATTCAAATATACCAGACCAGAAGCAAGAAACTCGTTACGTAATTACGTCATAAGTGCTGTATTAATGAAGTGTGGAAGTGCTTTGTTGCCATATTTAACGTAAAATTTAATATACTGTCTCAATTCATTAACTAATGAACAAGATAATAAGAATATAATAGGAATGAATGACTTAATGTTCAACCAACCAATAACTATATAAACATTGTTAACCTGTGTATTTTTGTATAAATCGTCTTTGTGAGATGAAGTACAGGAATTTATAAAAGCATTGTGGTACATAAAAAAGTTACTATCGTAAGTTAATCTATGATTCTATGACAGAAATGTAAAAAACTGTTGTTTTATGTAATATCTAGTAAACAATCAAAAGTCTATTTCTCTTTTTTCCATTTCAATTTTCTATTTTGTTCCTTTGTTTTTCGGTATAAATTCTTTCCAAATTATTTAACAGTTATACTCCTCAGTATACTCTTCTAGTAGGCTCAACATCTCACCTGGCTCACTTCTTTATGGGAGTATTTGGTTTAAGTCAGAAATTATTCAAATGTAGTATTCGAAAATCCCCCTATGGACGGGCTCTTCATGCACATGCATCTTAGCACAACTGAACGGAAAGATAGCTCAACTTTAAAGATCAGGCGACGCTTAGATTTGATTAATCTTTTCCTGGCATTCCAAGCTTCTGAACACAAGAATGAGGCAAAATCAATGCTGGATTGTTACAAGGGTAACAATCCAGCCTCTGCCACCTGAAAACTATGAAACTGGAACTTGTTACAGACAACTCTTCCGAAGGTGAAAAGGAAGTAGTGAAAAGAGACTTGAGAGCAGGCGGTAAAGCCACAAACATAGATAGATGTATCCTTTACACAAAAATCCTTCCGTCTACGACTTCCAACTAGTTCTTTGTCTACAATCTACACTTAGAAAATCCTAAGTGGGTTGAATTAAAGAATAAAGTCGGTTCATGGATAAGTGGTACGATGAGAGACGGAGTGCGACTGCTTGGTGAAATGTGATGCTATAAGATCTCAAAATATTCTGATTTTGATAAAAATACTTATAGCAGTACTTTTATAACTCAACTGTTGTATATTCCTAGATAAGAACAGGTCATAGATCCATTCTCCAGAATTGGGTTACTAATTTAATTGCTGCCTTACATACTATATACTAAATATTAAAATACTACTATAATAAGTCTATTTACCCCTTAAAACGGTTAATTAAACTACGAAATCCATGCGTTAATATTAAATTTACTACAGATAATGAATTTTACTCCAAATGTGATTTTATTCAATGTGATTATATAAAAAAAGCGCATAATGAACTGATCTACAGTGCGGAAATTGTGAAAAATTTGTATATCTTCTCAGCAGTACTAAATCGGAAAACTAGGACGTCTAAATTGTCTGCTTGGAAGGCCAAGGAGTTTACTGTATAGTGGTTTAGTCATAATGCAGAAGATATTGAGGAGGAACTAGACAAAAACTGGAGAATGGGGACAGACGGTGGGTTTCAAATTTAGAAGGACAAGATAGGGAGAAATGATTTTAAAAATTAATATATTTAGGTTAAGTTAGGTATGTAGGATAGATTTTAATGAACAATGAGAAATTACATTGAGATATGTGCAGTAGGGTTAGATCAGGAAGGATGAAACCAAAGAATGTGAGAGAAAAATTATAAGAAATTTATAGCAAATTTTGGGCAACTAAAAAGAAGGAAGAACAACCAAAATGCATGTTGCACAAATGGGAATACTAAAATTGATTAAAAAAGCGATTTTAGAAACAAAGGAAGTCTTCGTGGCAAAAAGGCGCTGTCTAGGCAATCAACCACCTTCCCATCATTGGCAAGAAACGCAAAAATGCATCCAATCCTGAGTTAGTCGAGCCGATCCAGAAAGAGTGAGATATATGGAGGATGGGGATCGTGGAAGGCGAGGAGAGAGAGATGGCAAGATGGGAGGTAATAATAACATGGTTGGAGAATGTTAAGCATCAAAAAGAGATCATACAATACAAAACACTATACAATGAGAATTACCCTATACGAAAAATCACTGAGTGATGATTATCACAGATGTTAGACGAGCAATATCTGTGAAAGGAATTAATATTGATGCGACTAATGATAACACTTAAAGGAATGTAACGATTTTGTTACTGCGATGTATTTCTTAGACAAAATTCCAAATCCAGATCTTTAATAATCCCAAAACACAAATATACCAATATTTTGTCTTGTTTTAGTTGCAGACATTCTTTCTTTAAGAATATACGTAGAGTATACGATGCGGCAGCGGAAAGGTGTTGAAAGCAGTATACATCCTTGTCGGACTCCCTGGCAGACTTAATTTCATTAAATTTTGCACCATTTACGTACAAAATCTTGATATAATGATAAACGACGGTCAACGAGAAAATCATTAAATTTAAAGAAACTTATCAACCTTGAGAGTTTAGCTAAAGCAAATTCATCAATTTTTACTTATGGTGGATGATTCTAACTACAACCAAAATCTACGTTTTCTTCTGATAAAACTCTTACTTGGATAGGACTGATTATTTGTGCAGTCGGCTGAGTGCCTAGCATAGCTTGTGATACTTGAACACATTGTCCCTGCTGTTGTGTTTGAGCAACTGCGCCTGTACTACTAGCCACTTTTTGCATTTGCACTTTTTGTGTTCCCATCACCTATAGAAAATAACTTTGCCATCAATCAATTATATACACCTTAGTCGATATTTTAGTCAGCAAATGAATTAATACAGAAATTATGTCATAAAATATTTACTGAAACCATAACTTTATCGACAACAGCAATTTAGTATTGGACGCTAAAAAGTGAGAAGATAATTAAATAGGATAAACTCATTCACAAGGTCCTTCGAGCCGGATAGGAATACGAATATCGATAACGGAGAATGAGTTACATGAAGTTGATTTAGAGCAGGTGGACGAAATAGATGGAAGCTAGTTCAAAGTAAATATGATAACAACGTCGAAAGAAGAAGTGTTCCAGAAATGAAAAATACTGAATAGAAAAGAAAATGGTGACGACAGTATTCTATAAACATAGAAAAATATATTAATAAGAGTATTCAAAAACATTATAATGCTAAACAGATGTTTTATTGCCAGAAAATATAAAATGGTTTGACGCTAAAAGAATTCTCCACCCAATATTTCATTTAGAATCCTTGAGGACATAATACAGAAAATTCGCGCAGGATTTATCTTCGGTGAACATTATTAATATGCTGTCAATCTGTTGGAGATAAGAAAAGTAACAAAAAAAAATAGAATCAGAAATGGAATATGGAAGAAAATGTAGCCTGACAAAAATAAATGCAAGGTGCAATGCAGATAACAGATGAAATAAAAGAAGTAAATGAGAAACAGGATAAATTAGAAAGATAATGGATTACTAGCGAAAGGTGATGGACTATAGGAAAGAATCCCAAGGAAATCATAAGATGAAATAATTAAAATATTGTTTTGCAAGATTAAATTTTTTAAGATTTATATATAAAAATAGATTGAAGCAATTGTAAGAATATGAAGACGATATTCACATCAAATAGATCACTCGTTATGGTTACAATATTCTAAAAATAAACAAAACAAATCTGACTGTAATACAACAAATAAGGTGTATTTGTATACGGATAGACAGTACCAAGCGCATTTGCTTTGTTGGGTGTAATAAATAATGTGACTGCTGAAAGTGTATGTCTGTTTGATATTAATTTTAAAACAAGTGTAAACACGAATAAGCAAAACATTAATTGCATAGAAAATGACAATGGCAGTCTTATTTTGTTCGGATTTAGTAAAAATACTAATAATATATCTATATCTCTTCGTAATTGTCTAAGTGTCTAAATAAAAATAAAAAAGTTTGTTCGGAACTTATGCAACCGAACTACACAACATTATGGAAACGAAACTTCTGGTTCCGAAACTAAGATAGATAAGATAGATACTTATATCTGCGATGATGAAAGTTTTCGGTGACACCGATGGAGAGAATTTTTTTGTCGAAAATTTTGTTTCTTTTTTATTAGAAAATCCTTCGATCCAAACATTTTTATAAAAGTTAATTTTGGTAAGATATAAGATCGATATAAAGAAATGGCGAGGTAACGACTTATAGGATACAAAGACGAGTGTAATAAAGACAATAAATTATGCAAAAGTATAACTGTTACAATAGATGAGTAGAGTAAACAATTAAGAGCTCACAAGTACGAGTATTAGGGAACCAAAATAGTAATAAACATATTAAAAAATATTTTGTCTTACGCCTTATGCTTTCTACAGGGGCTGGTTGATGGTAAATTTCATTTTGGTGTATTATAAAAAGTAATATTGGCACTAACGAACCGATAGTATTCTAACAACCACCATTTTGTGCAGTGATCCATGCGGTTGGCATTACGGAATACATCGTGTATTTGATACTATTGTATATACAAAGGAAAAGTTAAAAAAAAATTAAGAATAAAGATAAAACCAATAATTGTTAACGAAAGGCAACAATCAGAACTTTTCAGACATTGTTTGCAGACAAGATTTCCCGACAGGTCAAAAGTTCGTAGTTCTCTGTCAAAACATGAATAATGTGACCCTGTAACGTTAATATAGATTATCTGATTTAATTTTACTTTTCGACTTTACACTGCATATGCTCGGACTTTACCCCGTATACATATCTGATAACAGTTGACATTTGACAGCTGACATTCGACAGGTGCCATCATCAGCAATGGTTTCGTCAGGGTTACATGCGAAGATAACGATAACTCAAATCTAATGCTTACCAACATTGGCAACAGGCCTGTCTGATACAAGCCGCACATACGTCAAAAATAGAGTGATTATACGGATAAGGATGTTAGGACAGTTTGTTCCCCAAACTGTTTCCGACCAATGTAACTGAACGGACCATCAATGAATATGACTGAACGAACGAACGAGGCGAAAGTTGGAGCTATTAAAGTTCTAATGTGTAATGTGAATATCTATTCGATATATTATGCAAGTATAATATTTTAATAGTTAACAAAATATGAGTTCATTCTCAATAGATAAAAATAGACAAAAAAGACTTACAATTGGTTTTATTGTAACTTATATGACCGGTTTCTTCTTCTTCTTCCTCTTTATAAACAATTCTGCTTGTTTATTGGCGGATTGATACCTCTATGGAAGGTTGTCGCGCCATCTTTTGCGCGGTCGTCCGATACTTCTTCTGCCGATTGGTGACTTATCTCTCGCTATTTTGATGACACGGATTTACTCCATTCTGATTATGTGTTTATTCCATTCTTTTTTTCTATTTTGTGTTCATTCATTTATACACTGTACATTACATTTTCTTCTAATGTCTTCACTTCTCTTTCGATCTCAGCGTATTTCCTGTAATTTTTCTCAGTACCCTCATGTCTGCCGTTTCCAGTAGCTTTTGCGTTGTGGCTGTATCGGGTCTTGTTTCTGAGGCATACGTCATTATTGGTCTTACACTGACTTTATAAATTCTTGACTTCATTTCAGTGTTAATGCGTCTCTTTCGCCATATAGTGTTATAAAGGCATCCTGCCAGTCTATTTGCTTTTTGTACTTGATCTCTCACTTTTTTGTCAGGTCTCCATAGCTAGACAGTGTAATTCCTAGGTATTTTATTTCCATTATTGTTTAATACTGATGTCATCAATTTCTATTTTACATCTGACTGGTTCTTTGCTGTCTACTATTGTTTTAGTTTTCTGAGATGAGATTGTCATATTAAATGCATTAAATATTGCATCGTCGGCGTAACAGAGTATTTTTATTTCTTTGTTTCCCATTCTGTATCCTTTTTATTTGTTAACCGTTTTGATGATTTCATCCATGATCAACTTGAAGAACATGGAGCTCAATGAATCCCTTGTCTTATTCCGCGGCCTATTTCTATAGGTTCTGTAAGTTACCCATCTATTCTGACTTCCATTTTTATAATATTTCGTCTAAGGTAACCAGTTTTTGGGCCTTACAATTTCAGCACATTGAGATGTCCAAGATTAAGATTACTTAACCAACGATACAAAGAAAATGATCTAAAGTAAGTATACTATTAGCTTAAAGAAAGTATACTCAGGAATAATACTTGACTGCATATCGACGTAGGAGCAGTATCTTAAGGAGAAGACATTTATCGAAAGTAGAATAAAATGATGTGCGAAATTTATGATGAGGCTATTGTGTTTGTTTGTTATGTATTAGTATAGATTTATTCATTTAAGTTATAATTATTTATTGTAGAGGTATGTAATGGTTAGAACGTTTTATAAAGACATTGTTATTTGGTTGATGACCCCTTAATAAATATTTGTAAATGTGTAAGTCTGCCGTGGTCATTTATAAAAAAGTAGCGCAACATTCAGACAACACAGGGTTAGGTAATAACACATCGGTATTAGTAACAAACAACAACAACATTACAACATATCCAACAAAGCACTTACTCTCAGTATATAACAGTAACTTACCTTGTGCATCTCTTGTGGCTTCTGCTGGGTAACTTGGCCGTTGCCTTGGGAATGATTAGGTAAGATATTGGGTTGTGAGCTGATGACGCCTAACTGACTGAAGACAAGCGTTTGTTGGTTTTGTGTCGTGGGAATTGATGGGCCTAAGGTTGTGTAACCTGGGAAAGTTGCAGCTTGGCTACCTTGAATCACTTGCTTTCCTTGAGCTGTAATCATGTGAGGGGCTAATTGGTTGCCTTGGAATGGTTTCGCTATAACCTGCAATTCAAAAAAATAATTACATATATGAAATAATTCCGTTTATCAGCTCACTTTTAGTTTTTGACAATTTTCTTAGTGTTTTTACTATATCTGTCCTATATTTGACATGTTTTAGGGTAAGTTTTTCAACGTTTGTTAAAGTAGAATGGGCCACCACATGTGGAGTTGTTTTTATAGCATATAAAACTATTATACTTATTTTTGTTTTTTCAAAAACAAACATTTTATTAGCCTCAATGTTATAAGTAAAACAATAAAATAAAAATATATAGAAATCGAACTGTGATTTTAATTCCCATTAATACTTTTATTTTCTTTTTGGCATAAATATCGATATTTCTCAGTTAGATCCTCCTTTTCGGATCTTCTCCCATTTGGTTTTCCATCGTTGATTACTGATTCGCTCAATTTCTTGCAAAGTTTAGGAAAATATTGTACTATTAAGCCACAGGTAATGTATTTTTTCGTTTAACAAAGTTTAGCCAAAGATAGGTTAGAGTTGTTAATTTGCTTCTAGTTTACTGTCCTATACATTGTTCATCTTAGCCTGTATTAAGGTAATTCGCATCCCTATTTAAGCATACTTGAATGTTCTTTAAAATCTAAGATATCTAAAGCGAATGCTGGAAATCATAATGTTCAAATTATGATTGTTATATTCAGTCAATAAAATTACACCGTGTACTTTGAATTCTACGGTTCAGATAACTTATTTAAATCTACGGTTCAAACTCTCATTCATAAGCGTTTGAGGCAAAACTTTTACATGAGGAAACCAATTTACCTGAATTTGTGGATTAATTCCCGGATGCAACGCAATATTGCTTATATTTCCAGGCATAAGCAACTGCCCTTGTCCATTATAGAGTTGCTGCAGGTACGTCGGGTTCTGTATCGGCTGCTGAATCACTTGCACTGCTCTTCCATGGCTCCAGTCTGCGCTGAGCTGTTGCTGATGCGCAGCTTGGCTCTGATGCAACGGAGACATCGTGGTAATAGTGGTGCTACCTGTTTGTTGCGCAGCGGCAAGGACCTGTGCCCCTTGTGTTTGTAGCACCTGGCCCTGTTGAGCTACTTGCTGGTGCATGGAAACTGTATGTTGAGGGGGGCCCATTGAAGTAACGGCGCATTGTCCACCTAAAAAAAATTAAATATAAAGGTTTAAAATGTTCGAGAATTAGTCAAAAAACATGAAAAATACTCTTATGGGTACTCGTTTGTAAAATTAGTAACAACTTAATGATGGAATACTAAAAAGATCGCCAAATATTCAACGCATTAGTTTAAGGAAAAAGTCTACGTATTTTAAGAGAAATAGTTTTGCCACTGAGTCAACTGTCGACTGAGAAAAAATCTGATAACATTCAATAACAACTGATAACTAACCTGTGAGTTAGAGGATAACATATACATACATATACTCGCAAACTGCTGTGCCCAATGTAACTTTAGAGCACGTTATATGGGAGCACATGAGATCGAAGAAGAGAATGCACCTAACATAAATCTAATACATATACTAAATTTTCTCACCGAGAGCCCATCGCAGAAGTCCAGGCAAGAGAGACCATAAATCTTTATAGGTAGTATTGTGACTTCTCCCAAATCAATCAACCACTACTTTTGTAAGATTTTTTAAAATCGTTATTCATTTTCAAACGGATATCTAATAGTTACTGTTACTATTATTTCTGTACTATTTTTAATGTATATATAACCTGATAACCATTCATAAACATCTGCATCAATCACTGATACAGTGCATATGAATAGTTATTTATTATATATATATATATATATATATATATATATATATATATATATATATATATATATATACATCGGTTTAGAACGTCTTTCGACGTTGTCCGATACCTAAACACCATCTCTTCTTATCTTCGCAGTCGTTTGTTGTTAAATTTCTTTCGCTCATGGACTTGTTTACGCCGTGTTGCCATTCTAATCTGGGTCTTCCTCTTTTCCGTCGACCTATCGGTTGCCATTCTACTACTTTTTTGGGGAGTCTTGTTGCTGGCATCCGTTGAACATTCCCATACCACCTTAATTGTTTCTTCTCTATATCTTGAGGCATATTTCCTTCTATTCTCGTCTGGAAATACCTAAAGATCTTCTCATTACATCCATCTCTACTGCTTCTATTCGCTTTTTGTTCTTTTCACTAATTCTCCATGTTCAGCGCCATAAAGAAGAGTAGTTTTAATCGTGGTCTCACATATATTAAATTTTCTTCCTTTCGTTATCTCTTTACTCCACAGTATACCATTGAGACATCCTAAGACTTTCTTTGCATTGTTATTTATTATTTGTGAACAAAACAGTTAAACGATGCAAGAACAACAAAGAAAATGTTACAATGGAAGCCCATAGGAAGGCGAAAAAAAGGAAGGCCCAGAACGAGATGGTTGGATGACGTGGAAGACGACCTGAAAACAATGAACATAAGACAATGGAGAAGAAGGGCACAAGAGAGTTCTGAATGGAAGGACATAGCCAGACAGGCAAAGACCCATCCAGGGTTATGATGCCAAAAGAAGAAGAAGAACAAAACAGTCCTATTTTGGACACGTAGTAAGGGGAGACCGATATAATATTCTTCAACTTATTATGATGAGTAAAATCGAAGGACGCAGAGGAATTGGTAGAAAGCAGGCCTCTTGGTTGAAGAATATCAGGGAGTGGACAGGAATAAGGAAAGCTGAGCAACTCTTTAGAATAGCTCGAGACAGAGACAGTTTCGCCATGTTAATCGCCAACGTCAAGAGGACTTGATAGGGCACGTTAGGAAGAAGGAACAAATACATAGATACAGAAAGGACATTACTATTCTTTGCTGCTTCGCCCAAGGTTTATGACGTATAACAAGTGACATATGACACGAAACAAATAACAAACATACAAATGACATAATATATCAGAGACATGCCATATGACAGAATGTTTTCATTTGTTACTTGACTACATCACTCCGTTTTGTTGTATACAACTCAATAAATATTAGTGTATACAACATTAAAATTTTAACCGCCAGTTATAAAAGTTGTATTCAATTAGATTCTACTCACCCGACGTTCCAACAGTTACTTGTTGCAAATGCGGGCTCTGCGCAGGCACTAGGGTCTGTTGTTGCTGTTGCTCCTGCTGTTGTTGAAGCGCAACCTGCTGCAGCTGCTGCTGTTGAACTGCCTGAGCTTGGGCTTGGGCTTGTGCTTGCGCCTGGGCTTGTGCCTGTGCTTGCGCCTGAGCCTGAGCTTGGGCTTGAGCTTGCGCATTAGCATCCATCTGTTGTTTGTTTAAGTCACTCATTGTGATCGTTAGTTGACCTGAAACGCAAACAATTAAAAATATAAGTAATCAATTATTCAAATCATGAATGTGTTGCTTGTGTGAGTCCATTTCAAATAGGTAAAGAAATAATAAATAAGACTTACTCACAATCAATTTAATTTCAAAGTAATAATCAAACTATCAAACTATCAGTCGACCGGTTTCGCTTTCTACAATATGCAAAGCATCTTCAGGTCTCTATACAAAGTTAAATAAATGCTGAAATGATAAAAACCCATATTAGGGTGTTGTCTAATAAAGATAAACAAATTAGATGATAATAATATGGGTTTTTATCATTTCGGCATTTATTTAACTTTGTATCGAGACCTGAAGATGCTTTGCATATTGTAGAAAGCGAAACCGGTCGTCTGATAGTTAAATTAAATTGATTGTGAGTAAGTCTTATTTATTATTTCTTTACCTAATTTAATCAATTATTGTATTTGTATAAGTAAAAGAAGAACAAATTCGGAAAATTGTAAATGATGTAGGAACTAGCTGAATGGAGAAACATCGGAATCATCAATGATTATAACATGATAATCTTTTCATATAGTATGAGTTATAAAAATGATTATGAAGATTATCTAAAAAACTTACCGTCTACGCTTTGTTTAATGAATTCGTGTCCCCTGTCCAAATTCAACAAGGTATTGGCAACATCGAATTTACAATCGTCAGGTGTGATATCGTGGATTCCGGCTTTTTGTGCAAGCGTTTCCAAACACTGCAAGGATCTACTTCCTTGTTGCTGAGCGTTATTGGTGTTAGGCGTTTCGTTGTGATCTTGTTGTGTCGATTCTGGTTCTTGATTGTTATTATCTTCTATTTTAATTTTAGCTGGTGTATTCGTGGTGTCTTTTAGTGGCTGTTTCTGGTTATCGGCTTGCTGGAGATTGTCGTAGTGTTGAGATCTGGAAAGATAAAAATAATTTGGTAAGTTGGCTGATAGATTACAAGAAGTTAAACAAAATATCCAAACTAAATATGAAACATCATTAATTTTATCGCTATTAAAATATAGTGTTTAACCATGGACGACGTAAGAACGATGTAAACAATCTAAAAGACAGATTGATATCATTTTGTTTATGACATAATCATCAGTATCACGGTGCTACAGCCCTTAAAGGGCTTCGAACTTCTCAAGCTTTGTGTGCCATTTCACTCTGTCTATTACTTGGATTCTCCATTCTTGCCCGTCTGAATTAAGACGGGCAAGACCAACTTCGTCAATCCAACTCCTGAGTTCCTCAGAAGAATGAAGAAAAACCGAGAGGTATTGACCACAATACCTTTATACTATAATATAGTATAGGATAGGGTACAGTACTTGGCACACATTATGCGAAATGAATCCACATATGACCTACTACAAGCTTTCCTGCAAGGAAAAATATTTGGAAAGCGAGGTCCAGAACCTGGTTAAAGAACCTTAGAACCTGGTCAACTCCAGGAGATATGTAGCATTTCTGCGCTGCAGCCGTATAGCCAACACGATATTAAGGGCCGATTGTTCGAACTCTAATCAAAACTTGAATGTCAAATATTTAATTACAATCAAATATGTCAGAACAGCTGTCAAAATTATTAAAAAATTGCTAATTATTATTATTGATTTGTAAATAAAAACATGAAATTAACACCAAAAAGAGTTTAATTATGGTTTATTTTAAATTAAAACGCAAAATAATAAAATTGAATAAAATAAATCAGTCAACATAACCAAAAATGTGACGTATTTGATTTTAATTAAATATTTGATTACAATCAAGTTTTGATTAGCGTTCGAACAATTGGCCCGAAGTATAGCCAATTTGATAGCCAACACACGATCAAAGAATATAGACGCATATATGTGTCCTTTTGGCAATTCCGCCATCTTTGTTTTTTTGTGTTAACGTATTCGTTGCCCAATCCCCTTTCCGACGATACCTCACACGTCACGATCTGAGCAATAACAACGGAGATACGATATAGAGTCCTTTTAGCAATGTTTTTGTCTTTGTTTTTTATGTTAACGTATTGGTTACCTCATCCCCGTTTCAATGAGCCCTCGTACGTCACGATCGGACCAATAGAAACGAAGATATGACGCAATGTCCTTTTGGCATGCTCCGATGCGCACGGCAGATACTGCGTTCAACCCCATTTTTCATCCCCTTTCCAACGATACTTCACACGTCATCCTACGTTAAGCCGTTTGGCAGTTACGACCGGGGGTTGCGATTTTAGGGGTTGCGATTTAGGGGGTGTGCTCAGAACCCTGTACTCTATATTCTTTGACACGATAATCGAGCAGGACACAAGAAGAAAAACAAGGTTACTTCCGGATATAAATGACTGTGTAAGATCATATATTGCGGCGAATGCTGACAGTGACTTTTTCTTGGTATTAACAACAATGCATCTCAAGGTGCAATACATTAATAGCAAGTACAAAATACGACGAAAATTAAATGTGAAGGTATTGAAACCAGAAAATAGTAAGCAGAAATATCAATATGTATATAATTACAATATTATTAGAAGAACAAACTAGAAAACAAAACACCAATAAAACAAATGAAGCATTGTTATTGAAACATCAAAATAAATAATACCGCAAGTACGACATAATAGGGGAAAATGGGTGGTTTAATGACAAATATTAACTAACAATAAATCGAAAATTTATAGTCTATTCATTCGGTATTATGTTCTCTTTTAGCAATTTCTGCATATATAAAAAGAATACTGGCCTAAACTGATCTTTCAGATATTACATATTAAACATTTAAAACAAACATTCAAACCCAAGTCAACCAGTCAACCTCAAAACCCAATTTCAAATAGTGGAAATATCTTCGCGCTTATTAAAATGGTCAGGTCTGTAGGAACTGTGTTTCCCGATAGACTGGTATGCGATGCGATGCGTTGGTCTAAAACGCAATTACATTTTCTGTCCGTTGCCGTCGCCTCAGGGACCACTTTCGCTTTTTTTGTTCCTTTTTTACTGCACCCCTGCATCGAGTAGATACCATGATAGGGCCAGGACTCAGTTAAATCTTTATTAGATTGCTAGCCATAGGCGGACGATAATAATTCTGTAGTAAGAAAGATTTTATACCATAATACCAGGAAATTTATATTTTTAGTCTAGTACGATTTAATATTAGGTCTGAGTTTCATACCTTGTAACATTATAAACGTCACATCTTTATAATTTATATTTAAATAATTATTTTATTTTAATTTCTTTATTAATCTATTAATTCCGTAACTTTCAGTTTCTTTTTTACTATTTTTTCTTCAAAAAATAGTTGGTGTCCTCTCTTTCTGTCTGGAAGACTAAATATTTTGTTCTATGTTGACAGAAGAGCTAATTCCATCATAGACATATGTTCTATCGCATCTGTGCTATACTTCATTGCAGTCACAACTTTTGTCTCCCACTTATTTCAGTCAATCAGCGTTTCTAACGTTTCTTTTTTGTGTGTAGTTGAAATTTATAAAAAAAGTTAAAAATTATAAGGATCATTTTATGGTCTGCAAATCTCTTGGGGTTAGTACTTTCATTGTAACCTATACCTATTTTATAATTCTGACAGTATTTACAATGTTCATAATCTCACTTCTTCCAAAGCCATGCTTTCAATTTTATGCATGTAGCAATGTCCAAAAGAGGACCAGGAAGAAGACGCAACTCTTGGCTTAAAAACCTACGGCAATGGACGAACATGACCTCCATAGAACTATTCAGGGCTGCTACAAATAAGATTAAATGGGCAAATGTAATGGCCAACGTCCTTAAGTATAAGGCACCGTAAGAAGAAGAGCAATCTTAACTAATCAAAACTTAACTAATTTTAATAATAATTTTGTTTCACTTTATCGTTGCCTTCTGCTATTTCTTTAATTGTGATTTTGTAAAATAATTGGCAAGGAAGTTAACCCTCTTTGATGTCTCGCTAATACACACTGTGTTATATTCTAGTTTATGGAATCATTTATGGAATAATTTATTGGTACTAGTGTAGTAAGACGGAACGATGTCTACGGAGATGAAATGAATATCAATGAATTCTGCTTAAAACTACAACGCGTTCCATCAACTTGAAATCTGCTCATTTAGTATCCATCCAACCACCATCAGAGGCCATCGACAACTTACTCTGTCAACCACATGAAGCCAGAAGTATCAATTTTAAATTTGTTTATTGTACAACAATAGGCAGCAGGGTTTGCTTGTGCAAAATATCATTATATTGTTTCTTTTATGCTAAAGAAATATGATTAGTTAATTCATTGTTTTATTTGTAACCAACTGAATTTTCATTGTTTAATTTATAGTTTAAGACAAGACGGATTTACACTTGAGAGACTGAGTTAGGCGAAGCATAGGCGATAAGCTTTCATAGTTGATTGAGTTATTATTTTATAATAGTATTTCATATTAATAGTATATAACCCCTTTGGTAGTCTTATCGTGACAACCTTAGGTATAACATCAGAGACATTACATGTGAACTTGTGAAAAGAAAGGAAAAAACTAAAGTGATGGAATGGATACCGAACATCAGAGAGAGCTAGAAACCACTTAAGCGCGGACTACTATAATTATGAGGTACCTATACCATTTTTCACAGTAAAACACTTGCACGTCACGATTTCTACAAAGTGACGTCACTTGTATTTAAAATTTCCAGAACATCAACCTTAGAGTTCAAATTTTCAAACACAGTTAATAATACGAAACCCATACGGAACTGCTCAATCTTTCATAGGCGTCAACATGTTGGAATAATCAGAAAAATGTAATCATCATTATATTGTAAATTTTAGAATTATATTGATTAAATAACCAAAAACATTTGTTATTATTAATAATACAAATTTTATAAAATAACTCTCAAGCCTAATATTCCACAAAATAATAATTTTAATTTAATATATTAGACAATGGTACGCAAGTGATACAGATATACTTCAAAATTTATTGACAGTTCAGCGGGTGGCGAAAGTGTATTAAGTGTTGCCGCTTTTTTAGAGTAGGAATATTGTTTATGTTTTGATTTCTAACACAATTTGATCATAATATAATATATATTAATAAATTGTATTTATAAATACATATTAAATTTAGATTATTAGCTTTAAAAACTAATTATTGCTGAGTATTGTGATTGTGCTATGCCAAAACAAATAAATACTCTGTAGAAAGCTGATAAGGTTTCATATAAGGTAGATTATTTTGAACAAGAAATAATGGCAGAACGTTTTTACTGTTAAGTTTAAAATTTAGAATATATAATTTTGTATTAAAATGTTTTCTTATGTATTTTAGTGTGTTGCAGTAGTCTTAAAACTAAGTGTATTTACTGTTAATATAATATGTAATTTGACAAATAGTTGACATTTTAAAAATTCCTCACTTACTAACTATTCTGATGTTTTGGCAACGCTGTGGGGTTCTGACGACGTAAATCTTGAATGACGTGCAAGTTTTTTTATATGAAAAATGATATACCTAGTAGAGATATTATATCTTTTATAAAAATATGTAGGCTTAGACGGGTTGGATATGTGTTGGGAGTAAATGAAAACTATACTTCCAGAGCCAGACGAACCCTATAAATGTAACCAGTAGAAAATAGGAATAAGGGTAGACCAAGACTGTGGCGGGGGAATTGTGTGCACGAAGACGCGAGGACAATTGGCGCAGCAAATTGGGAATGGTTAACAATGAACAGAAACGACTGGCAAAACATACTGGAGAAAGTAGAGGTTCAACTAGGGCTGTAGTACCCCTAATGATGATGACTTAGGAAGGAGTTCTTAAGGCACTAAAGAAGTATTAAGTTCTTGCACACACAAAACAGCGGGATGGTATGAATGAAGACGTGAGGAGGATCGGAGCACTAAACTGGCAACG